AACAACTTTAATGAGGAAACTCTTTTAATCATTTACAAACCATTCCAATTACCATTAACAATGAAGTTTCAGGAAAAACTCAAGAAAAGGACAATAAATCAAAGAATTAATTTTTACACAAAATCAAAAGTACAATAACAATAATAATATGATTAAAATTATCATTGCCATTAATCATGTTAATGATATCTTAATATTTAACATAAAACGTATGTTGAAATGATTTTGTTTTCACATAAAATGATATCATCCATGAACTGGGAGTAACAACAATAAAACTCATCAATATTGAATGATAACCACTGAATGCTGATAATTACGGTACAGCAATAATAATATTTAATATTTGACATAAAATATCAGGAAAAAAAGAAAGAAAAGAAAAAAAGAGAGAAAAAAGGTAATTCTATTTTGTTTTCTTCGCATAACATGTAATAGAATTGGTCAAGCATGGCGAATATTTGTCTTCAAATGGACGTTGATTGATCACACCTATTCATCCTTTTCATCCTATTTATCATCATTTCCCATCTTCCATATGAATTTGCATGGAAAGAGACCAACAATTCTTCCATCATCTTATTCATCCTTTTGATTGATCTTATTTTTTGGCCAATCATTCCGATGAAAACGGTGTAACATTTTCTTCATTTACTTTCAATTAGCATGATACTTGGACTGAAAGATGAGAAAATGATTGACATTTGTTTATTCTTCAAGATGGATTCCCATGAACCATTGAATTCACCTAAGATTCTCACCTTCAATTATCTTGGCTTAACTCTTTTCTTCTCATCTAATTGTTTAATCAACAAACAAACTAAATTCATTTCCGGACCTTTTTTTCCACCAATCATTCAGTTGTACTCATTTAAGTGATCAATCATCATTTTTATCAGTTTCAATGTGATGAGGATAAAGTGAGTCCTGATGAGTGGGAGAAGAGAAAAGATGAAAGGCGAAAAAAAACATTCAACTTGTCATATTGAATGGAAACTTTTATTTCTTCCTTTTCCAACATTACCATCTTCATGGTACAATCCAAGAATTCAATTTCTTTATCATTATCCTTTAAGATTTCCATTGCTAAACATAATCAGAAGCCAAAGCCAAACTGAATTTGAACCTTTCTTTTTTATTCTGACATTAAAATTCCTATGGATTTATGATAATAGGAAAACAAAATTGAATGTCAATCTTATTCAACATTATATTCATAAAATTTACTCCTTGATTCAAAACAATCAAGTTACAGTTGAACAAAAATAATACAGAAAAAAGACAAAAAAGATTAAATTGAATTTACTTTGATTGTCTTCTTCAATTTTTTTCATCTTTTCCTCTCTTCTCTTCCATATCATCATCATTCTCATCCTTTCGTTACCTTATTCACCCCTGAGTATCATTGGTACTTATTCAGTTGAATTTTATCATTGAAACTCTTACGTGACACAAATAACATCTATCAACATATCCTTTGTGAGAATGGAGCAAAAATAAATAAAGAAAATGTTTGAAAAATGAATGATTTTTCATTCCATTCTTTTTCATCATTATCATGTTGATTTTTCTTCTTCATCATCATTACAATTCTCATCTTCTCCATCTCATCTGACAACAACAAATTTAATTCAACTGTAATAATATTGTCTGGGAAAGGAAAAGATATAAATCACTTGCAGGTAAACTGTGATTTAATATTTTTCTCGCTAACATTTTATTCCTTCAATGAGAAGTGAAACTTTCAACATGATCATCATCATGATAACATGTTGTTTCTATCATCATCTTTTCTTCTGTTTGCATAACTGCATAAAATAATAACAGAATCGTTGCTTGTTTCATTTTTATTCATGTCAAATGCGAGATTTTTACTTCAATTGACAATGCAAACAACGAAAATGAAAATTGAAAGGAATCATGTTAATATTGATTGTTTCAATTGCTCAAAGTCAATAATTTAACTTTCACTTTCCAGCATTTCAATGAAGACACTTTTCAAGATTATAATGAATCTGAAGAAATGACAGAGAAATGATTGAACCAGATTTAATAAGCATTTGTTCAAAGTGAAATTATAGTAATTTAAAGTTGAGTCAATCAACATTTCACTTTACATTTAAAATCATTGACTAATGTTGACTGATGTAAATACAAATGTAAAGATTGAAATGATTCACTTGATCTGAGTTGTGTGAGTTATTGACTCAACTTTGGTGTTTCCCTTTGATAAATGACGCTTCAAAATGATTAGTTGATTGTTATTAAAAGTTGAAAGTGAAAGCAAATGATAAATATAAACAGGTAAGAAATGGAAGGAATTGTTGCAATTTGCTTCAGTCAATCATATCAAATGTATCAGGGCGTAAAATAGGCAGGAATGCGCTCAAGATGAACAAGAGGATGAGGAAGAAGATGATGGGCATGATGAGGATGGAAACATAAATAAAAGGTAAAAGTTTGAAGAGTTGAAAGAGATAAGAATAAAATATCTACTGAAAACAATCAACTTATCCTGGCTCATTGAGCCATTCAGATGATGAAGATGATGATGAAGCCACGGAGGTTTTGTTTTTGTTGATAAACTTGAATCATGATGCATCACAATCAATGAAAACACAAAAGGAAAACTGATTACTCGGTAAATAAACGCTCTTGATATTAAGCCATAAAAGGTGGATCAATGAGGGTGATGCAGGGTGGAGGGTGAAGGGATGACCACTTGATGAGGCCGCTATTGTTGACCAGAAGTTGGATGAGAATAGAAAAAAAAACGGGAGAAAATAAATAAATGGCAAACTTTGATTTATGATGAGAAATGAAGGTGGAGATGAATGTAATCATGTTTAAAGGTGAAAAGATGAATTGAATTGTTTAATCTGCAAATGAAAAGTGATCCTTATTGTTATCACATTGAAATCGTTAAAATGGAAACCTTTTCATGTTCATCTTTCATCCAACAACAAGCTTCTAGTTTGACTCGTTTCACCATTTTTTATTATTACAATCAAACATTGATTTAATTCATTTATCATCAAGGCTGTCTTTTCATGCTCAATGTGCTTCATCAAAATGAAGCAAATGTCATTAAACTTGTCAATATCGCGTTGGGTTCACTTTTCACAGAAGAGCGTAAAATAACCCAAATTTGGTTCCATTTTAAAGCTATGTAAATTGGACTCTGGGTTTGACTTTTACTATTATGTTTGTTTACTATTTAATTATATTCAACTGATCAGTTGATTGTTGATAAACAAGTTTAATTTGAAATGATTTGTTGGGAAAATAAAATGGGAAAAGAGGAGAAACACGCAAAAATCAAATTTGCTTATTTTTTTAACGCAAAGTTTAAATTTTTGTTGCTTTAACAGACAAATTGCCATTGAAATTGGTGTAATCAATGTTAAGGTAACATGAAAAGGTAAAAGTGAAAAGTTAATTGTGTTTATTTTGTTTAAGTGGCATTTCCGTTTAGATAGTAGCCTTAATGAATCAAATTAACATTCATTCATCAAGTTGAATCATTATTCTGACTCCTTCCTTTATAATGTATCATCTTACATGATTATCATTCATTGAAATCATTCTAGCATCTCTCATAGACACAATAGATTAACATTAGATTATAACAATAAGATGGTTCAGATGTTGCCTTATTAGTGTCGAAATAGTTCATGATCAAGTTTAATGTTACCTTCAATTTGATATCGTTAATTGAGCCTCTGATTTGTTCAAAAATCCAAGTGATCTTCAATCAACTGAATGCCAGTCTTCATTAGTGATCTAAGGTTGAGAGTAATTTTTATTGAGTTAAGATTAATCAAATAATCATTGAGGGTAACTTTACATGTTAACATTCAAGATTTGTATTCAAGTTCCATATCTAGCCTGGTTTTATCCATTCTTGAGTTTTATTGAAATTGTACGAAATCTGTGATTAGCTGATATCATTGTTATTGCTTCTTATTACGCGATCATGATTCTAAATAAAACAATCTGAAATGTGTCTCTATCAACTGTTAGTATTTCGTTTTTTATGATGCATTCCAAATTTCTAATCAAGATTTAATTTCAAACTATTCATAATATCTGCGGCATTTTAATCAATCTCTTTGTGCTGTAACCTGAAAATTACCAAAAATCCGAAGTTCTTTTGATGTTAGAGCTGCCATCTAGGGATTCAATGTAGAATTAAGTAATTTTTCTTTGGTTTTTTATTCTTGTTTTAACTTATTACTTAATGTTAAACATGGCTTACTGTAAACAAATAGGTAAAGATCGTATTATTATTTCTACTCCCGAAGAATTATCCCAAAAAAGTAAAATAAAACTTCCTGAACCAAAACCTGAAGATCGTGAGTCTGGCTTAATCCTACCAAATGGTGAAATTAACTGGAACTGCCCTTGTATCGGAGGAATGGCGTCTGGTCCATGTGCATGGCAATTTCGTGAAGCCTTTTCCTGTTTTCGGCAAAGTGAATCAGAGAATCGAGGAATGGAATGTGTAGAGAAATTCGCAGTTTTACAAGATTGTATGTCTAATTACCCAAATTTATATCCCAAAAGAGAAGATGATAGTGAAGAAGATCTCAATGCTGCTATCGGTGTGAACAAAAGTGATCTAGAAAATGCAAGTTGAAATAATTGTTTTCAAGTTAGACTTAATTTTGTAGTTTTGATATAGAATTGCATTTATAGACTGATTGCTTATGCATTATGTTGATTAAAATTTAAAATTGAACCCAAAACTTAAAATTGACTAAAATTGCTTGATAAATAACCTGTATTGTTATTTACACTAAACCGCTTACGATAAAATACCAGATAATGAGAATCAACATTCCCTAAATAAGGAGGAATCAAATCAATTTAATTTTATTCTTGATTTTCCAACAAATAAAACTCAAGAAATTTGCAAAAAAAATTTAGCTTGAATTTGATTTATCAAAGAAGATTGGAAATCATGAAAATAAGCTGCCCGGCGAATAGTGTAAATAGGCTATTTCAAGGTACTCTATCACATATGGTACTTGACTCTATCTTGAAAGCTGCTTTATTTTCTTGTGTCAAAACAAAATTATTTTTCCATTTTTAAATCAGGTCTTCATTTCTTCTGTTACCTTTCCTTGCTATTTTGATTATTAACTTGTTCTTTGTGATATTCTAATTAGTGAGATGAGCTATCAACTTTATCGTAACACCACTTTAGGACACACTCTGCAAGAGAGTCTGGATGAGTTTGTTCAATGCAATCAGATAACCCCACAGTTGGCTCTTAAGATTTTGGTTCAATTTGACAAATCAGTCAATGTTGCTTTGGCTAGTAAAGTTAAAACAAGGTTAACTTTTAAGGTAATATTAGATATTAGACTATATATTCTTAATACCCACGTGCAGTAAAGCTAATGATATCTGTTGATTCTTTTTAGGCTGGCCATCTCAGGACATATCGATTTTGTGACAATGTATGGACCTTAGTGCTAAAAGATGTTGAATTTAGAGAAGCCCAAGAACTGATCAAAGTCGATAATGTAAAAATAGTCGCTTGTGATGGTAAAAGTCCTAATATCAGGGATGAGAGAGATTGAAAAGAGCCATTGTAGCCAGAAAGAGACTAACTACCTAGGTAGAGTTACTGGTTAAACTAACTAATGTGAATCTTTGTAAATAAAGCTTTTCATAAATATCTGATAATTCATTATTTTTAAAAATTTTCATTCTAAACTTCCAATGATGAATTAAAGATCGAATCAAGATGGCAAATAATTGTTACTATGAAAATCATGTATCGTTATTTCATTTTTAGTTAAATTTTTCAATTGAGTGTTATCTTTGTATAAACTTTTTTCAATGGAATCGACTTCCAAACAGATCCACAGTTATCGTTTGATGCAGTTCTATAGAAACTACTTTTATCAAAATTCAATTGACTCAATTTTCTAGATACACTAATTTAGTCTGTCCGGTAAACTTATTTAAAGAAACATATGTTAAATGACAGTTGAAAGCTGCTCGATTCATTTTGATTTTGACTGAAAAACTAAAAGCCATTCCCATCTTCAAATAAAATCATGATTTCTCGAGTTGACCTTTAATTATTTCTATCGTTTCTTGATTAACACTTGTCATTTAATAACTTCAATAGTAATTAATGACTAACATACAATGTGAAAGTTTCAATTAATTGATTTTTGCTTTTTTCTGGTAAAATAGAAAGGAAAGACAGAAACAGATCGAAAACTAATGATTGATAAATTGTATCTTGTGCAATTAACTAAAATCTGTTTTGATCGGGATTCCCCTTCAACATTAAAAATAAATCACTTCATTTTAACAACCAAAAAGTAGCCATTTTGATAGTAAAATGTTCAAAATATAATCGATAAATTAATTTAAATAAACGAAATGAATCTTATTGATTAAAGCGGTAAACTAATGGTAAAATGTAACAACAATTGTTTTTATACAGTTACACGAGACTGTTAATTATGATTATGGTTGACACACTAATGAAAATTTCAGGGACAACAGACTCATCAATCAGTCAAACTACAATCTAATCCAATGTATACAATTAACAATGATTGTTCAAGTTGACTCTCGTTCAATCTTTTTATTGATTTGAAATAACCTGATGATATTAAAGTAATGAAAAGCAAGACAATGAGTTTTAATGATGAACCAAAAATCAGTGGTTATGATAGATACAAATTGAATAACAATTATAAACATGTAATTGTTAAAGGGTCAAGGTTTTGATTCTAGTTTAATACCAACCTGTTAATCAACATAAACATCATTATGATGGTGATTGACTGGTTGTCTAAACCAATGCTGGTTATCATCATCTCATCATTTCTTGTAATTAACTCTTACATTAGAGATGATTCTTGATTAACCGATTTCTCGATTGTAACCCAAATTTGCTCTAAATAGTCACTAAACTTCATCTGTTCAGATTGTTTAATTTGGATAAAATTATTTACAATCCTTGACTGTTCACTGTTGGTTTAGTTAAAGTCAGCTGATCAAACTTTTATTACATCAATTAATAGAATCAATTGCTTTTTCCATTTCATGTTCCACAAAATAATGTTAACCAGTATTTGGATGGAAATTTTCATCATTTTTATTTCTTCGCTGGATGATTATCATGATGATCAATGAAATGTTACTAAGTTTTGTCTTCAATTCAATTACAACTGTCATTTCATCAACATCTAACTCAATAAATCAACATATTTATAACAAGTGGCTCACTCTGTAATTATATTGCTTATTGATCAAACCCTTATTATTGTTATTATGAGCGTTATTGCTTTCAACGTCAACATTTTTGCTGTCTTCAGCACAAGTAGTGACTCTTTGTCACCATTAGTTTAATTTGTCTGTCAATTGGAAATAATGCAAATATTCATCAAATTCAACTTTTAATTTGTGATTTGTGATGAATAACTAATTATTTTCATTATTTGTATTCAACTGTTTTTAAACCATGGACATTCCATTGAGCTATTTACACATTGATCCAAATAACAATCAAAATCCCAATAATGCTGACAACAACAAACTAACACCAATTCAAAAGTATGTTTCATCTAAATTGTGGTCCAGTAAACGCTCAACAGCAGCAAACAAACAATCATCGGCATCAAATCAGTCAGCCACAATGAAACGTCGTGATCAACATCATTATCAACGTTACCGGTCAGGATCATCATCAGACTCAGCAATTACTCTGTAAGTTGATTGTTGCTCCAAGTTATTCTAGAGGCTAATCCATTAATGTCCTGTGTCCATGTATTGTCTGCTTTATCAGTGACAGTCCAATTGATGATGAATCAACGGAATTAAATCATGTTACATCTGATATTGTTGATGATTTTAATCAGTTGTCATACCATTTCATTACAATGGCTCTTGAAGATGAAGTAAGTTAAGAAGTTAATTCCTCTTTTCCACGTTTTCGTAAAACCTTTATTTATAATCAATAGTTGAGTTTAATCATTTTGCTTACTTCTAATTCAATTAGACATTTCTTCATTCAGATAGATTTAATCAAATGATACCCATAATTAAAGTTCATTGTGATCCTAATCGTTCAGAGTGTAAAGGTTCAGCTAACTGTGATCAATTCGGTTTCATCAAAGAAACAGCCAAAGATGAGAAAGATCAACTGATTGATATGATAAATTCAATCAACAACTATCGAGCCAATAAATTGTGGACCATTGGTTGTGCTAATTTGAAATATCTTATTCGAGAATATGGAGTTCCAAATGAGTTACGATCCCAAGTTTGGATGGCTTTTATCCAGGCAAAATTAGGTCAACAATATGATGTAAGTTTCCTTAATTTGTTTACAATTTAATTATCAAGTCAAAAGTTCGTTGCCGTTCTTGATATGCCAACAATCATACCATAATTTATCTGCACGTCTATTATTCGTTTATCATTGATTGTTGTTAACTATCACATTTTGGTTTCATTGTAGCCATAAACAGGACAATTAAAAGAGCAATTTCCTTCGATACATGAATCTGTCCAATTATAAGCTCCAACTCTGATAATTATATTGCCTTTGCCAAAAGCTGAGTTCATTTGATTTTGAGTCAAAAGATGGAGCAAACGTGAGTTGTGTTTACCAAAAAGTATAGGATCCGCATGTCGGCATTTCCTATATAGTGACCTTCCAGATCAAGTTGTCTTGTAATCTTGCTCAAGTAGATTCATTGAAACGACCGCTTAGTTGTATGGCTTTAAGTTATACAAGTTGTAAAATTGTTTTCCATTGATATCTCTAGATATAGATCTGTTGAGAAATAGAAAGAAAATTAGTTTCTCCAATAACTAGACTTGAGTTATAAGGGTGAAATTGGAAAGTAATTCAAAGCTGATTTCATGGAGTGTTGTTAGTTCTAATTGGGTTAAATTATACCTTCAAAACAGTTAGATGCTGATCAATCAGCTTGAGAAATAAAGTAAAATTTCTCATCAAAATTAGCATACTGAAATACTTATTCAAATAATGTTTAATCAATTCCTTATGAACTGATATATACTGTATAAACTGTAGAGTATATGAATAAGCATCTTTTCACCAAATTTATAGTCATAGTAATTCAATCACAAACATCAGTTAAATAGGTTTTTGTTTTTCTTGACTTTACCTTCTGAAATAGATTCATCTAGAAATCAATTTGTAATAATTTGTTTCACAAGTCAATCGTGAATTACCAGGTGTAGACTCGTCCTCCAATTTACGAACCATAAGAAGCCTCCAGAGTTTCATTTCCAAATTTTCTGTTAAACACATGAAAGTCGATTCAAAAAATAACCAAAAAGATCTATTTCATTGATGATACTTACAAATTTCAGCCAACTATTCAATTAAAAGACGATTTCCTTCCAGAATAGCCATAAATTGATGAATAAAGTTGAACCAATAATTAAAGCGTCTTGATTTACGATTGACTGAGGTTAATCATTGAGTTAACTGAAGCACATAAATTGAAAAAGACGCCATACATATCATGTGTATTGAGACAATAGAGGGGTCATCACCTAATTAAGCCTGTGTTAGCTTCAATAACTTTCAGGGCAACTCTTAAGTTTACAACAAAAGAAGTAAAAGCATAAAAATCGAAAACATTTTTTTCTTTTCCTTGTTGGGTGTTGTCCATGTTATGTTTATTTATGGTCAAGCAATCATTGATTATCCCTCATTTTGGGCACCAAAAAGTGACACGAGTCAAGCTCAAGTAAGCTTCCGACATGAAAAGGCAACCTTTTCTTAAAGGAAATGAAATTGATTCACAGGAAATTAGCTTAAAACTCACCCAGAAACTGTATCAAAATGGGTTATTTAATAACAATCTTGATTAATTCACTTAATTGTGTTCACTTTTCCTTTTCCTTGTTTTCTTTGGTTATCAAAATAATCTCATAAGATGGTAACATTACTTCAATTGATTTGTAATAGCATTTAAATGGACTCGGAAATACCTTACCTTAATTTAGGTTTTGTAAATAATAGAGGTAACAGTGGAGGTTAAAGGTTACTCTTGTTAACCTTTGTTATTACCATTAATAACCGTACCTTTGGTTACCTTCCGTCAAGGAGTCACTTTATTTTTAAGGAGTTACTTTTACTTTGCATAACAAAAAAAAACAAGAAGTTATGATAACAGGTAAATCCAATGTAACTAGATAATCAAGTAACTTTGTTGTTCCGGAAATAGATTGGCCTTGTATTATTTTGTTTCCGATCGGAACGGGCTTAACCCGAAATGATGAGGCGTTGTCTTCTTGTAGGTAGATTGTGATGACTCAATTGTGACAATCAAATCTTTGATTGTTTCACCATTTCTCGAGTAAAACCAACTTTCTTGCTTCCAATGTAAATCCAATTCAATCTTACCTACCATAAGTAAGGCAATTAATTAAATAATTTAAGTCTCAATTCTTCAATCGCTTCAGTTTTTTGGATTATCAAAGTTGGTAGTTCAAATAATATAGAAATCAAAATATAAATCATTTCTGCTGAATTCTTGTGAATTTATGCAACTTTATTTGAAGGTAACTCATTAATTGTTTGCCAAGCTAATTTGTCAACTTTGGAACTATTTTCTAGATGATTTGAAAATTAGGGAACCTGATTGAGCTTTTGAGTATTTAATTGTTTTGTTTTTCATAGTTTATAGTTAAATCTTTGAGTTTTTGACATTTAAATTCAATAATTTACCAGAAATTGTTATTTTACTTACAATTAAAGCTGTTTACTTGAAAACAAATTCTGTTGATTCCTAACAATCACTAAATCTACTTGATCTTTAACATTTCAAGTATGCAAACAGTAAACAACAATTAGATTATTGTAATTTTAAGAAAATTGAAACACTCGAATTTGATGATTAAATTAATTTAATTTAACCAATAAAAGTGAACATGAAAGGTTGGCCGAAGGAAAACCTATGAAAAGTATTTATTTACAATAAAATGTTAACTGTTTACAACAATTGATGAAACGGGATGAAAAGTGACCTGAAAGCGAAGGTGAAGAAGAAGAGAAGCAGATGAGACAGAGTAATGTACCAATGTAAATGGGTGCGGTTGTGACAGTGTGAGTATTGAGGCCATCAGGCCATATGAATTTTGGTCTACTGATTGAACTGGGCCATTGTAACTGCAAAGGTAAAGGTAAAAGTCCCGTTTTTGTGAAAGTCCACCTTGAATTGTCCCTCTTTTATATTCACCTCCTCCTCCTCCTCCGTCTCTTTCATCTTTAATCATCTTCTAGGTCGTTCAACTTCAAGATGGTTTCACAGTAAAAAGTGATTCCATTGTGTTATAACGGGCAACACAATATAAATAAAATGTGTATTAATATCTAGAGGAATCCCGTTCGCAGTGGAATGGGATTGACACGCGTCTCCAACACCAACAACCATTGTCCTCATCCTCCGCGTCCTCCTCGTCCCTCTCACTTATCATCTTGCTTATCCTCCTTCGTCCTTGCAAATCGATGATGTTGATGATGATCATAATGAAAGTGGAAAGCAGCCGTCTTTTCATCCTCTTTATTTTCATCTTCATTTTCATCTTTCCTTTCATCATCAGCTTTCTCCATCTTCAGCTTTTGCCCTTTAAAACTTGTCTCAATCACTTTTTAATGCTTTTGTTGGCGGGATCCGTTATTGATAATCAAAAGTGAACTCAAGCTGGAAATGCTTTCATTCACCCGTAGGCCATTCCAGGCCACCAATGATATTATTTTCATTGGTAGTTGCAATTAAATTCAAGCAAATTGCTCTCATTTGAAAAGCTAATTAGCAACTGAAGGAACATAAAAGCTCAGTCTTAACTGTTGGTTAACTGTTATCTGATTTTATTTGATTAAGGAAACGTTCCTTTAATTAATGGTTTTAATGAATTAATGAATGACTCTAATAAACGATCCTAACAAATGGTTATTCCAATGATAATTTTAATTATGATGAATAAAAAACGACTGCAAAAGCCTTTTGTTGGTTACATCAGATTCACTGATGAATGGCAGATTCAAATTGAAATAAAATTTTCTTCTTTTTTCTATTTTTTGAAAAGATTGAAAACTTATTGGGTTTAGCACGTGAAGTAACCCTGAATGGAGCCAATGAATCAATAATCAAACAGATAGACTTGGATGTGACCAGAACCATGCCTGGCCATATTATGTTTTCAACTGCAACCGGAGTAAGTCTATCCCACGATCAATAATGATATCCCATGATAATTGCATGTGTCGATATTCACACGGAATTATGTTTCTCATTTAATTAACCATTTAGTTATCAAAGCTTCGACGGATCCTGATAGCTTATTGTATTCATGTTAATCCATTTGTTGGTTATTGCCAAGCAATGAATTTCATTGCAGCTTTGCTTCTTCTCATCTTTCATGGCAATGAAGCTCAATCATTAATGTAAGCTATTTTTTATCTTTTTTCAAATTCTCATCATTTACTGATTGGTAATTTTCCTCTTCCAGGGGTTTGATTTGCATCATCGATCATTACTTTCCACCAAACTATTTCGACGAACAATTAACAGGTATAATTTAAATTACAATCACAATACAAACAACATTCTAATCTTATCCATTTGAAACAAGGAGCTCGATCAGATCAACTTTTACTTCGCGATTTATTCCAAGAAAGACTGGAATCCGAACAAGACAAAGCTCTATTCAATGGACCACTTTTTGTCCAAATAACCAACTCATTGACACTCAATTGGTTCCTCTCCTTATTTCACAATGCAGTACCTTGGCAGGTAAGTTGATCTAAAGCAACTCAAATGCTGAAGAAACTCACAAAACCTTGGATTAGTTTAGATGCGTGTAACGATTTCATGTGTAACAATCAAAGATGAGGAGAGTTGAGGTCACGATGAGCCGTGCCAAAGTTTAACTGATAAACATCAATTAACATTGGCCAGTCTAGTTGCAGTTTGTTTCAACTTTAACCTTAACAATCTGTCATCTCATTTCATCTTTCAATCTCAATCATCTTTAATTGTTATTCACTGTTCAATGATATTAAATGGTGAAACAAGGAAAATTTAAATTTAAAAATAGCTTTTATTATCAAAATTGTTTGAAAGGTTTCAAGTAAAAATTTAAATGAAAAAAGTTAAAAATTAAAATTTGATGAAATGATAAACCTTGAGTTAAGGTTTAATTTTTGATGAGATGAAGATTAAAATGACTTAGGAACCTTCAATCAAGACAATAATTTAATTGAAGGAAAAGTGAAAGAAGTTAATTTGACTATAAAATAATTGTCTTTAATTATTTACAATTTAATATGATTCTAGTCGGTAGCATTTGGTTATCATCATTATCATCATTCTCATTATTGTCTTCAAGTTAATCACTTTAATCAGGTTGACCTTAAAGGTCTTTAATTGTTGTTGTCTTTTGTTGCACAAATGATTAGTTGACAGCAAACAGTTAATTCGTAGGAAAAGATTTACAAAATTAATAATCAAGTTGAGACGATCAAAGTTGATCAAAATCAACTGATCGTATTTTACTCTTTAAATCCTTCAGGTCTTGATAAAGTGATAGAGTAATTTCATGAAGGGCTGCTAATTGTGATGTAACTGAACTGAAATTGTGTTTGGTTTCATGTTCAAAGTTGGCTTCTTCCTTCATCAGATCATAGACAAGATGACGAAGATTCTTTCTCGATTTATGTGAATGTTCAGTGTTTTCAGATGTCGATGTTTCATCTTGAATGGTATTCTCGTTGCTATTGGTTTCGCTTGTTGATCGATGTTGTCCTTGATTACTTGATTTGATTAGATTTATTATTTTTAGTTGATTACGAGCAAGAAGTGTGTGATCAGCTCGAAGAGAGTCCACATCTCGAGCAAATTCAGTCTCTTTACGATTGGCTTCTTGTTTGTTTGCATCAATGTGTTGGTTGTAATCACGAGCCATTTCACTCATTTCACGACGAAGTAAATTTATATTGTCAATTAACCATTTTTGAGTGATGAGTAAAGTCCTTTCATGGGATGAAATGGATGATGAAGATGAATGTGAATGATGTGAAGGTAATGAAGATGAAGGTGGTTGCGATGAGGATGTCACTTCGGTTGTTAACTCATTATTGGGTGATGAGAATGAAGATGGAGATGAAATGTCAACAGGAATACATGATCCAAGATGGGAAAACAATGAAAAGATGATGATATTGGACAACACAAATGAAGTGAAATTATTCATTTTCCAGATGAAATGAAACTGGAAACAGTGTTGATAAATGGAAGAATAGAAAAAATTGTTTTTTGGTTATACTGTTTATTAATATTCACACAAACTGTGACACAAACAGAAGATGGAAACTGGTAAATAAACAGAAAATGTAACTTAAAAGGTAAAATAAAAAGTTAAAGCAACAGAGAGAAGTGAAGTTGTTGTTGAGTGAACGGTGAATGGGCTTAAACTGGCCTTGCAGATGGCTTTGGACGCTCCATATAACAAACTTCACGATAAGAGAAGAAGAAGAAGAGAGAAGAGAAGGAGGAGCGAAATGGAGGATGAAGAAGATGGAGAAAGAGAAGAAGAAAGTAGAAGAGAGAAATACTCTGTTACTTTTTTGATCCCTTGAAGAGGCTAAAAAGGCCTTCAAAATAGAGACCAAAGTTTGTTAAGTTGACGGCTTTTTCATCAGTGGTTTTAACCTCGAGTTTCCCTCTTTTGCTCGGTTCAGTGTCAGTTTAAAAACGGCCAAAAAAGACAGAAGAGAGTGAGAGGGAGAAAGAGAGAGTGGGAGGGATGAAAAGAGAAAGGTGATCAAAATGAAAGACTTGATATTCGCCGGAGTTTTGTTGATCATCCTTTTGATGAGAAGCTGCTGTTGCCTTCATTGCCGTTAAAGATGAAAATAGTAATGAGAGTGGTGATGAAAATGATGAAAATTATAGTCAAGATTATGATGTTGATGTTTAACCAGGGAATTGACTTGCAATAATCAATAAAACACAACAAAATACAGTTTGGGTTTCACTGCTTGTTGATGGTTCAAGTCATTACCTAATCCATGGGTTTTAATTGCACGATAAGTTTAATGATAATGATTGACTTTAACCTTTTATTGATAGTGAAGTCCATTGAATGGACTGGGCAATTGTCAGTATCATTATTGTTTTGCTTATTACATTTGTCAATGAAACATTCATTGGCCTTTGTTTTCTTGATGTTGTACATGAATCTTTAGACGCGTGCTGCGTGTTTTTTGAAAGGGATAAACTCACTCGTTTATCATCTTACAACACGCGTTGGAGTCTTTTTCATCTTCATCAACCCTCTTACTCTTACTCTTTCATTTCTCTTTCCTTTTTTCCCTTTCTTTTTATTTTCACCTTTAAGGTCAGGTCTTTTCATTGGCATCTGCTTTTCCCTTTACTTTTTGTATCTGCAACACTTTTTAGGTTAAAATTTACCCAAAAATCATTCACTTTTTCCCTTTTCCTCCATTCGATCTGAACCCCTTTGCCCTTTCACCCGTCGGTCACCGTACTTTTGACCCCTTAACTCCTGTTGACCTCGTCTTGTTTCCCGCGAAATCATTAATCCAATTGTGTAATATTGATATGTAATAGTTGAGACATTTGCAGTCCATTCCGGTTGAATGAGGCGAGATTCAGCTGAGACAAAACAAAGGCAAAGCAGATTCGCTTTCGAATTGAAAAATCAGAAACTTCTGTGAAAATTATGATTATCTTTCAATATTTCCTTATCTTTTCCTTACTTTAAAATTACAAATCTTCACAAACACATAACCAAAAATTGAAACAAAATAGACGAGCTTTTGTATCTATTTTGTTGGTTCATTCATTGAAATCGAAATTGAAATTGACTTTTATTTCCCAAACTTAAATATTGTCTATGAAGTAATTACAATGTGTAATGTTAGCGACTAACCAAGAGTTTGGTAATTTTTATGCAATTAAATGGTTTGTTGTACTTATAAGCATGAATTGACTTCCTTAAGAATCAATTGAAATTGGCTTTTCATTGTTGACTCAATATGAATATATTGAAGTTAATCAACGGAAACGACCAAACCTTAGTATATTTTCATAGCTTAACCTTGCCTAAGTTTACTCTTTTCATTACATCTGAATCTATTAATCCTTTAAAAATAGCATCTTAAAAAGTCAACCAAAATTGATAGATCAAAGGCAAAGCTTTTTTAGTCATTTTTTAAGCAAAACAAGGAAAGTTTATCAACTGTTGAATTGTTTACAATTGATAATGATAAATTCACCTGGAAATATCGTATAATAAATCAGAGATGTCTGTTAATCCCTCATCAACTGAGTAAACATTCAACAATATCAGTTGAAATGTTGAACCGATGAAACAAAAACAATCAACATCACGAAATGAGGGCTTAACGTGCTGAGGATGGTGAAGACGAGCAAAGGATGAAAATGAAGAGACTGAAGATACATCCGGGCGGAAGAGTTCACCTAAATCACCTAAATTAACCTTAATCATCTTCCAGGCTATTTTCGAGTTTTTGGGACACAATTTTGGTTCCATTTGTTTCTTACTCTATTACAAGTAATGTACAATTGATTAATAACAGAAGGCATTGAAATGTATTTTATTTAATAACAGTTTTTATACGAAAACAAAATACTCTTGGGATTGAACATTGAAATGGATCATTGATTCAGCCGGCTTTTGTATTAACTTAACCAACAATAATTTTTTCACTTCAATCCTCTCTGTTTGTTACATTAATCAAAAATTGAACAAATGGTTAGAAAATGAATCAACAATCAAATATGTTCACTTGAAATATAAACATATGTGATTCTCAGAGGAAACTGAATGTGATCAAATCATTTCCACTGATCATCCTTCAAACCTAATTGCACTATCAAATTGATTAGCTGTTGAATCAAAATGTATAAAAAAATGGAAATTCTAATCATTTAGAAGAAGAATCAATTTATCCAAATTTCTTGTCAATTGATATTCTTCACCATTAGTCTGTGTCTCTGGTCATCACATATTGGAAATGAAAAGTTGAATGAAAAGATGTTTTCAATTTACTCTTAATATCCATCTTTTGTTTCAATTGTGGATCAATTAACTTGCAACACTTTAGCGCGTGGCAGATGATAAAAGTATTGATCATCACTGTCATCATCACCATCTTTTATTCCAGTCTTCTAGCAAAGGTTAGCAAAGTTTCAGATAAATAATGGAAGCAAAAAGAGAGTGAAGAAAAGAAGAAAGAGAAGATAAGAAAGAGCACCTGGTAAGTACGAGTAAAGAGATGAATGAAGATGAAGACTAACGCGTGGCACGCGCCTTTGCTTGGTCAAGTCTGTAGTTACTTGTTTCTTAAGGAAACTTTTCAACCAAAACAAGAGCAAAAAAAGGTTCAAAAGTAACCTTGTTTTTGTTACGAGTCTGGTCTACGGGTTCATCTTCTGTTTCTTCTTCTTCTTCTTTTTTTTCTTCTTCTCCTTTTTCTTCACCTCCTACTTTACCTTGAAAAGTGGACATTCACCTGGACAATGGAAAGACGATTCTAAGACACTTTTTAAGAAACTTTGTAAAGACTTGAGACGATCTTTGTACCTTTAAATAGACACGCTTCTTGAAACGCCTTAAGGTTTCAACAGACCTTTGCACTCCTTTATTATTATTAAAATTATATTAATATTGTGCTTTGGTTCATTGATTACTTTAAACAGACCATTTGAAAATATCATCTTGCCTATGAAATAAACTTGAAACTCGTTCATTGTTGGACTGACATCTTTCTTTCCTCTTTAAATGTAGTCCAATCCAAAGCCATTTTAATCTCATTTAAACAAGATAAATTGACCAACTCATCTTCAAATTGTAAACACATGTAATTGCAGTTTATACATTTATAATACTTTCAAGTGTGTTTACAAACCAATTAAATATCAATCTTAAATAAACTGACACGAGTTACTATTAAGTCATCTTTGACTTGCAAATGTGATTCAATGTAAAGTTAATGATTATAAAAGGAGAAACTGAATTTCCATTGCAATCTATTAATAGCCATCTAAATGTGTTCACAATTATTGATATCACCCTCTGTTCAAGGTTGACATTCAGCTGATAAAATGTATAATATAGATGATGTTGATAATTGATTAATGGGAAATTTTGTTTTCTTTATTCCGACAGATTCGTTTACAGATATTGGATTGTTTTTGGATTGAAGGCGTTAAAGTTTTATTCCGATTCAGCATTGCTCTCATTGAATTGGGTCGTGAAGGCTTGTCTTATCCTTTGAGTGAACTGGCTTCGGGTGAGATCATCAATTCAATCAAAGAAAAATCTCGAAGATGTTACGATATAGTTAAACTTAAAAGACTAGCCTTTCGATCGATTAAAATACCCAAAAGGAAACATTTAGCAGCTCGACGATCATTTTATGTGAAACAAATACTAAATGGTTTAGATGATATTGGATACCAGAGTTCATCATTGAATAGTTTAATCAGCAGTAATGGACCATCAAGCAGTTCAAGTGTATCGCCAGCAGGAAGCAGTCCTGATGAAGAAGGCAGAAAATGGTTGAAACATAAAAACAGCGGTTTGTTGCGAGGATTGAGCATTAATCAAAAGACAGGATCAATAATGGAAGTTGCCATATCAAGTGATAACTCAGTTGTTGTAACAACTGAGGAAAATGGTACAAAAGATGAATTAATTGTGACAACTTTGAACACAATTTATGGTAACAAGGAGAGTGAAATGATGATTAAAAAAGTGGTAATTAAATTGTGCCAGCGACGTCGGTATCATCTATTTGGTGTTGCCAATGATGCCAGTAAGATCTACTTTTATCAGGAGACAGTCAAATTTTTACCATGTCAGTTGAATGATAAAATCAACATTGTACGAATTAATTATCGGGTGAAATCAGCTTTCCATGATTCATCTCAAAACATAAGCTTTTTTATTGGTTTCAACGGAATTGTCTCCAGAATTGATCATTCCATAGACCAAAGTAACGATGAATCTAAAATGATTGAGACAATCTCATTGGACCAACGTAAATGTACAATACAATCAGCAGCTTATGATCCCATCAGCGGACAATTAGCAATTTATGTCACTTCATCAGGAACCAGTAAACTGTATATATTGGATACATTCACTTTAGATATTTATAACTGTTTATATATTGATCGTCTTAATCATCTTTCATTATCTTCATCATTGATTTTTGCATCGACTTCGGGTCCAAATGATTTGGAAACAATTTATCTGCTCGATGGAACCACAATTAAACAATCACTTGTACAGAACACGGATTCAATTGTAGCAATCAGGTCATTCCTTTGGTCTCCAAATGATTCAATGATGGATCCACAATCAAATCTTGAAGATAATTATTTCCATGATCAACATTCCAAACAATCTTTTTCATTACAAAAATCAACATCATCATCTTCATTATCCTCAGAAGTTGTAAACAATGAATATCAAAATCATCTTCTAATTGTATTATTTAAAACCTGTCGATTGCTTTGCATTCAAGTAACTGATAATAGAATCACTCGAAAGCGAAGTTGTTCTCTTGTGAATTTTACTCCTGAAAAAGCATCCATTGTAAATGTTGAGACGAAATCAGATGAAATTAATGTAACATTGTTTTCACCACAAAATAAATTAACCACTGTTAGTTTGTAATTATTATGGAAAATTTTATCTCCATTCGAGAAGAGCTTAATTTAATTAACTAATATTCACATAAGAGATTGAGTTGACTTGAACTTGAATAACTTTATTGGCTCGTAGTTATATACACATTTTGTTTTTGCTGTGTTTAATGGAACAATATAAAAATGATAATTTGTGAGTTAAATTGTGAAATATATTGTTGATTTGAGAGGGATTTGATAATGGATCAAAGATGGGATACTTTATTAACTTTTGAGAATGGATGAGAAATTGATAATGTTGTATATTTGATGGGATTGAAGGATTAAGAGATGAGACTGAAGATTGGCTGAAATCAGTTAAAAGATAAAATGGATCAGGATAATAAAGGAGGAATGACGATGTGTATTTTAAATTGTTTTACAACACAATCAATTCTTCCGTTTAATCGGAGGGATCGATGTCCTGCAAGTAATTCTTAGAATCACGAGCCTTTGATAGTTTTGTTACATGAGATACCTTAGAGCCTAATTAATTGAATAAGCCTTTCAGATAGGACAGTAAATGAATTAAAAATGGTAAGAGTTAAATTGAAGGATTGATGAGATGCTGAGTTCCGTGTTACTGGTATTTAAGAAGCTTTGTTTCTGTTAAATTTGTCAACTCCGGAATATTTTCATCTTTATACACATATAAATAATTGAAGATTGTAATATTGATTCACGATAATGATCATTTTCTTTGTCATTATCGATTTTCATCATCAACGTCTAGCCTTCCGTCTGCCTCTAGCCGCGGCGGGTTTCATCTCAGGCGAGGGTGACCTTTTGGATGGAGCTCTGGTGAGAAAAATTTAAACGGTTAGTCAAGAAAGGGATAATTGAGAATGAAAGTTGATTGAAATATTTGAAAGGCCCTTAATCGACTTATAACCAGCTAACTCAATTAAATTTACATACTGCTAATGCAAAGTGTTGAATAACCGACTGCAAATATTCCATGAGACATAAATTCAAGCTAATCTGATTGTTTAAACAAAAAAAACCGAAAATGATTCATGAGATGCAAGATAGATTTATCTCAGCTGAAGTATTATTTGTTATTACAGTGGAGTTCACATTCAGGGAAATTACGTTATTTTATTTTCACCATCTGTTTTTGCATTTATTTAGAGTGAATATAAATGAAAAAAAGAATAAATCAATTAGCAATTTTCAATATGAAAATTTTCTCCGAGTGTGAGCACGACTGTAACTAACAAAATTTAGTCGATTACAATAAAGTGATTTAATAGAAATATTCAGAATTGAAGTCTCAACTCAACTCTTTGCAGCGCAGTATTTTGATTGTAAATTTAAGTGCACACCGATTTGCAGAATTTAGCAAATCTATCAACACATAAGTCATAACTATTTATAAATGGTAAGCTTTGTTAGCTTTAAATAACTTGATAATGCTGAGCGATTTCTTCAAGAGTTAGCCAGTCTAATCGAACCAAAATCTTTAGCCTTCCAAGTTCAACAATTTAACACCAATAATAAACCTACTTTCTAGCTATCCGGGCAGATTTTCGTGCCGGTGATGAAGATTCATCTTCACTTGCTTTAGAGTTACGTTGATTTCCAGTTGGAGCAGCTGATCGAGAGGCTCTGCCAGTTGCTCTTCCTCTTTTGGATGCACGAGTAGCTCCTGCATCGGCGTCGTCAATATCATCAGCAAACTCTTCTCCCGTAATCTCTATAATTTTCGATTCAATATCATCATCTTGAGCGTTAGAGTCGTCTTCATGGTCATCCCCTTCAACGTCATCGTCATGTTCCATATCCTCATCTTCTGAAATTTTAACTTCAATTGAGGAAACGTCAGAGTTTCTGGCTGAAGATCGTGTGGGTCTAGTTGATGTAGGTATCAATTCTTGTTTACGTCGTGAATTTCTTTTTTCAACAATTTCTTTTTCATCGTTAGAAACCATTGATCCTAAATCTTGTTTACGAGACCTAGTTGTTGTATGTGTAGGGGCTGGAGAAACTGTAGCTTGTTTTGCGGTATCATTTTCAACCGATTCTTGTTCAATGACAACTCCTCCTTCTTCTATCACATTTTCAGAAGTAATAACTACTACTTGATGGTCTCCACTAGAATTAGTTGATGCTCCTTTTCCTTGACGCGTCTTGGCGGGAGCATTTACAGTTTGTGGTTGAGTAATCTAGATAAAAATTGGCAATAAAATAAAATTAACACCATGGACCAGTTTGATATAAGTGAAACGTTGGAAGCAATGAGTATTGTTAAAAGGGATTCATTATATACAAAAAAGCAACGGAAACAATAATTAAAAACGAAATGCTGATTGGAACTATGAATAATATAAATTGAGTTTTGGAAGAGACAGTCCTAGCATCAACTCTGAATCTCTTTGGATACACTAATCCCTCAAGGTCTTCAAAAATTGGAATATCTTTGCGTCGAACCGCCCATTTATATAATCCTATAATGTTAGCATCCATGAGTTGAATTGCTTGCTCAGCATCGGCATGCACTTTACGAATTAATTTCAATTGATCTTGGGCTTTTCCATAATGATCTTTGAGTATGATAAAAGCACGAAGTAGTTGATCGAATTTAACAAGTTCTTTCTCACCATCCGGTTTGATGAAGAATAATTGAGACTTAGGTATGCCACAAGATTTTTGAGGTAGAAGATTATCAATAATCAAGAAGAATTTTTTAAAATTCTCTTCTTGATATTTAAGATAAATAATAACATCTAAATTTGATTTGATTTCTTCAAACTCTAACTTTTTCTTTATTCTCCAAATATCTAGACTTGTTATTAATTCTGCAAGCTGTTTTCTGGCTTCACGCATCTGATTGAGCGCTTCCAAACTTTTAGTAGCTTTCTTCTGTAAATGATCAGGAAAATTGGTCACAAGACGAACATCCTTGATTAACTCTCTTGTTTTACCAATATCCATTTCAAGTTTAGCTGAACCGAAGTCAAGATTGACATTTCGTGAAATGGACTGTATGCTTTCGAGCGAAGTTAAACTTTCAATATCTTCCATAACTCAGTTATTATATTTGAGATGAAATATTTTTTGAAACATTCAAGAGTAACAATTAATAGATAATCATGCAAATTGAGAAAATTACTAAATAAAGCTAAGAAATACTATAGAAACTGTTTACAAATGCTTTCTCGAACCGAATCCCAGTTTTTTTTACAGATAATAAAACTTACCGAGGTGAGAGTTTTGGTTATTTTCCCCAGGATTTCAGCTTCCAAGCCACAACGTTTAGGTGGTTGGAATTGCATTGATGTTGGAAGATAGCATCTTGAATTGTTAGTTGCAGCTGAAGGTGAAACTGAAGAATAAAAAATGAAAAAATTAAATCGATAAAGTTTAAAATCATAAAAAACTTGACTTAATACTGATCTGCATGCTTACCCATGAAATATTTTCCTGGCAGAGAAGGTTGAACGGGAAAGTCCTTAAGAAGGAAGTTTTGAGTCTTGCTCATAATTAGACCCAATGCTAGATCACAGGCACAATAAATCTTGTAATTAGTCATTGTTGCCATTGTTGGAGTAGAATTCGATCCATTTTCATCAGCTTCTGGAACAGCCGAGGCTGAAACTCTATCCACGCATGTTTTAATATTTTCAAAAGTTTTCTTATAGTATGAGAATGAGAACTGTTCATTTTTCAAGGCGATAGGTTCGATTATAAACATTAAGCAATCTGGAAATTAAAAATTTCAAATTAGAAAAAAAGCTTAATAAATGCGACAATCTGTGAAATCAAATAATACTTACTCTTGACAACTTCCAATTGATCAACATTATCGAATTGCGTATAGAAAGGCATGTAAGCAAGAAGGTGAATTACATAAGGCATGATACAATCAGGAAGAACAGCTTTGAGATTGGTTACGCTTTTAGATTTGACCAAATCACGACGCTTGGCAATATTTAACACGAGATATGATCTGAAAATTTATTAGTAAAGTTAGTAACAGAAGGATTTTACAAAATTAAATAATTTCATGAAATACCTTAATTTGTTTTTGAATGGATTTTCGTGTTGATAGTAGCCTCCTAAACAAAATAGAGCTAAAAACTCAAGTCCGAGGGAAAGAGAGATGAGACCTGGAATGATAAACGGATGATTAGATGAATCTGCAGTTTTATAGCAATGACAAGATAAAATACCTTTGTGTAACTTGAGAGCAAATCGATCACGAACATATTCTTCTTCTGCTAATAAAATTGTCGCTAAGGTATGCCATTGAGTTGGGGTTATTACAGCCGATGATGGCGAGGAAGCAGCAACTATGGCAGTAGTATCCCCTTGAGATGTTGCTGTGATAGAATCGTTACCAACAATCTTTAGCATTGCTGCTGCTGCAGCTAACTTGAGCCTTGCTTTCTCATGTGTTGTACCAGCTAGGCCTTTTTCATTTAAATCACCATTATTCTGAACAATAGCTGTCATTATCCTCATTGTATTCATAGCAGCATTTTGGTAAACTGCAACTACTTCTTGTTGAGACTCAGGAGATGCTATTAAGGTATTCAATTTGAGGCCATAAAGCCATCTTACCATAAGTTTGATACCTTCAATTTTACATTTAACTTCTTCACAGCAAAATTCATAGCTGACAGTTGGGTCGCTTAAATCTAAAACGGGATAATTAAAGATAGTTAGCAATCATTCTCAATAGCTGCATTAATTGAATATTATACCTCTGTTCTTTTCACTTTCTTCTTGCGCTTGGACCTCTTCTTCTAATCTTTGATCCTTCATGAGCAGATTTTGTACTACATATTTTTGAATGATTGAACGCAAAAGTTTTGGGAAGAAAACATGTCCACCACAAGTAGCAACCATTCCGATAGTGACCAAATGTATACGGAAATAAGGAGAGTCTAAAGTTAGTCCAACTTCCTGCATTGGACCGATAAATGTTAAAAAAAAGTTAATGAAATGAGATTTAATTATTTAAGTTAAAAGGCTTTTGAATTACCTTGATTTGATCCAGAATTTGTGCAAATATCCTGAGTTTTTCTTCATCATCACCAATAATAGCATTCAAGCATTGTATCGCGTATTTTGCTTGCTTAGTTGATGAAGCTGCGAATAAGATTAGTAAATCAATAAGATGAGTGATGTTTCTGTTGCGAATGGTGCACTAATTTTGTAAACTAACCTTTAAGGACAAATTTATCTACGAGAGTCGCGATAAAATCATCCTCAGTAGCCCACCATGGAGTAGCAGTTAAAACACTATTTTGTTCACCGTTATTTGAGCTAGAAATGGATCCTTGAACGCCGCCAACATTGGTCAGGATTTGAAGCACGATTTCGCCGATTTGTGGATTATCAGAAGATTTCCAGAGGAATGGTAAAAGATAGTTGGTAAATATTTCTTTTCCATAGAAAATAGCCGGAAAAACAGAGGATAAAGCCTGCAGAAAAAAAGAATGGTGTCAGAACGGGTTTGAGATATACAGTTAATTTATTTGACACTAACGTGAATAAGCTGAAGACCCCTTTTACCAGATGGTTCCAAGCCCAAACGCATATCCATCTCCCCTTCGCCGAGAAGCGAATCGGAAACATAGTTGAATAGAACAATCAATCCTGATGAAAAGATGAAAAAGAGGTGAGATTATGATTGTTTGTGATTAATCAAAAACTTACCTTGAAAATCAATCATAACGGGCGCGATTCTTTCCATGAGCTGCTTAATTATGACATAGAATGAATTAGTTTGAACAGGGTATCCCAGTGACTTGAGAATTTCTTTAACACTCGTTTCAATAACAGAACATGATGGAGGAGGTGAAATGGAACCATCTTCATTGATGTGTGGAAATGATGTAGAAGAAACGATAGTATCCATGTGATGACGAAGAACTGGGTTGTGACAAAGGTTGTGACACAACTTGGTAAGAAATTCATCTGCCTTGACAGGCTCAGGCAAATTTTTTGCACACAATTGAATTTTTGATCTAACTGTTGGATCCTTCTCATCTTTTTCCCCATTCTTGATCAAATCTAGAACCTCTTTAACTTGTTTCCTAACACTTTGTTGTTGCCGCAGTAGCTCATTAAAAGCTCGAGCAGCATGGGCGTCAATAGTAACATAGAAGGTATATAAAATTTTCATCCTTTGTTGCAAAGGTAAATTGTACGGTATAAGACATGTATGAAGAATTCTTTCAACCAGAAGACGATCATCTAGTTGAGTTTGATAGTAGTTGTGAAGACATTTATTTTTGATCCAGTTCAACATTTTTAAAGCTGAATTGTTTGTATTAGTGTCAGTAGAGCTTTGCCTATCATCATCACCGCCGCCTAATTGGGCAATATTGTATTGTTTGTAAAGCTGAGCCATACCAAAAAGTGCTTCTCGACGAATTTTGAACTTTTTATCAAGAGTTCGCTCTTTAACGAAACTCAATAAATCTTCATTAATATTTTCGATTCCTTTTTTAGCAGCACTAATAATAGCCATTACAACTTCATATCGAACATTTTCGTCAGGATCATGTTGCCTTTGCTTCAGTTGTTCTGTGATGTCTTCACGCAGTTCGGGGTGATTAATCAAAAAGTGCATTGAGTACTGGACACATCTCATACGAACGGTGACACTTATATCTCGGAATCTTCCCAAGAACGATTTCCAAAGTTCAGGGTATTGCTCTGCAAGTCTTGAATTTTTGTCAGAAAAAAGACGGGCTAGAAGTTTGGTGAATTCACATCTTTCTCTTTCTTCGTTGCTACGGATCTTGAACTCCAATTGGGGAAGAATACCGTCCATCACAGAAGGACAGATTTGATTAAGTTCATAAAGAAGATCACAAAGTTGGTTGACGGTTTGATTCTCTTTGGATACAGTTTGATTGGAGCTCTTGGAGCCAGGTCTAAGTGAAGTACGCTGTGTTTCATCTTCTTCATCATCTGACAATTCACCAGCATTTGCATGAACACCATGAGTTATGGCATTATTAAAATATGTAATCAAATAAGGTTCCATAGTCTTGTTAGCCTTTTTCAAGATTTGAGTTGCAAGCCAACAAGCTTGTTTGTTTCCTTTTTTCTTGGGATCTATCAACTGCCACAAAATGATCTCTACCAATTTTGAAGAAACTGCGTCAGCTTCGATGATTAAAGGTGTTAACATGTCCAGCATAAAGTTTTTGACTTTATCACTATGGTTGTCATTAACAATCTTGAAGATAAGATTAAAAAGTTGACAGAAGATGGACTGAGAATCATCCAACTCAATGCATATATTAAAAGATTTAACCCAGGCAAGGTTTTCAAGGAGATAGAAATATCTCTTAAAAGTAGGATCTTTAGGATCTTGCAGTCCTCTAAGTTGTTGAATGAAAAATAAGAATATTCTCTTAATTAGACTTGGGTTCTGGTAAGGTGCATTCGGCGCATAGACTCGGAATACATCAGCGATGGCACAAGCAACCAATAACCGTACATCCCTTGATTGATGTTCAAGAAAAAAGTTAGTTGCTAGGAACAATGCTAAGGGTATGTAACAGGTATTGTCTTCTTCCTGAGACATTTGTTGGAACGCCATAGCAATGTCTTTAAGACGTCGAATAAGATCATCAGTCGGTAATTCCTCATTGACATCTTTGCAACCAGGAGGATAGACCAGTTTATTTGAATTCCCACCAGCACCAGAAGATAGACTCTGTCCATTACCAGTTATTTTAGGCATCTTTGAGGCTTGTATTTTCTTTCTTTTTACATCCAAACACTAAAGAGATTGGTAACAAGAACAAAGCATATTAAATTTTCTTTTTCTTATTCGGTTTAATATTGTTAAATTGGTTAAATTGAAGGAAACAGGAAACAAGAGGGAAAACTCGGGCTTAGGTTTGGGTGAAGAGTAAAGATAGAAGAAGAGAAGGCAGAAAGCAGACCTAACAGCTCTTAATGCAGAATTGTAGTTGAGGCAGAATGTACTGGAAGTCGCCACCATCGTTTCTCTTTCTTTTTCTCTTTCTTTTAAAAGCTCTTTCTTTCTCAATAATGTAGAGAAAATGGAAAATGGCTACAGGAATAATGCAATTTTTTAACCGTCAAGTTAGGTTATTTTCATTGTGGTTCAACGCGTTCTCGACAATTTTCACTTAATGCCTCTTTTGGTCATATTGTCTTTATTTTTGACAATTATAGTTGACCTTTTCACCGAAATTGAAATCTAAGAGAAGTTTATCTTATTTCACTTAAAGCACCATGTCTATCAAACACAAAATCTTGAGGATTTTTTGATTAGATCATGTTTTGATAAATGAAGTCTGTTTTGAAGTCAATCTTCTTGAACATTTTATTTTGAAATTTCGTTATAATGAGGAGGTGAAATAATTATTTACTGTTATTTGGATAACAAATATTAGGGTTTCGGCTCAATTCATTCCTAACCATTCAGTTTGACACTTTACTAATGCGCTTATAATGACATGACATTGATACCGCATCTATTTTACTCTTTCTTTGTCTCTTATCCCTCTCTCTCTTATTCAACACCCAGATTACCTCTACTATTAGATTGTTATTAATCTTGACACAATGGATTCGGTCTAATATTATACCTTAGCACATTTTTTTTAAATTTTCTAAACGTTTTTTTCAGAAATAATTGATAATTTATCGTAAGAATTTTCTGAAATCTATCATTCACAAAAAAATTATTCTTTAGAATCCAGCTTGAGTTGGTTATAAAAGACTAGAAATACAACAAAATCATCTTAAAAATTTTCTCAATAATAAGAATTTTGCATAATATGTAGGATAATCATCAATTGAAAACAAATTGGAAAGAGAAAATTATGCTGATTTTCTTGAATTAACAAAAACCAACCGTTTCTTTAATTCATCTTAATCTTAATGCTTTAGTAAAATAAGTTAAAATTGGCGGCAATGCATAGGGGGAAGGAGTTTAGTGTATCCTTGGAGCTTTGCGGAAACGGAAAACCATTTTTTTAGTGAACAGTAGTTTGCTGGTTTCTTCTCATATTTTTAAGAGAACTCCACGTTTATATTTAATTGTTATTTAATTTAAACTAATTTCATCTTTATCAAAAATGGTATGATTAATCAAATTAACTGTTTAGTCATTGTTAATTGTGTTTAATGTCTCATTCTGTTAATTCTTTTACAGGCTTCTTTGGCACACCGGCCATTGGTTAGTGTTTACACTGAACAGAATAAGAGATCAGGAGTCAACGTTAAATTGCCAGCAGTTTTTAGGGCCCCAATTAGAACTGATATCGTTCAGTTTGTCCACACTAATATAAGGAAAAATCTTCGACAACCTCATGGAGTATCTAAAGATGCAGGTATGTTTTTTTTCATTTAAATTGTAATGAAGTCGCCGGCTATGCTGATGAAAATTTTCTTGGTCCGTGTTTATGAATCTTCCTGATTTCAACATTATCCAATATCTGATAATTTCCGGCATTCTCAGGATATCGAATCTTTTGCCTTCTTTCTAAATAATATTTTTCATTTTTTAAGGTCACCAAACAAGTGCCGAGTCTTGGGGTACTGGTCGTGCCGTAGCTAGAATTCCACGTGTTAAAGGTGGTGGTACCCATCGATCAGGTCAAGGAGCCTTCGGTAACATGTGTCGAGGAGGAAGAATGTTTGCTCCAATCCGAGTTTGGCGACGATGGCACAGAAAAGTTCATCGCAATCAACGACGATATGCTATCGTCTCAGCTATTGCAGCATCTGGTGTGCCTGGTATAGTAATGGCTAAAGGTCATAAAATCCAAGAGGTTCCCGAATTTCCTTTGGTTGTCTCAGACAAAGTTCAAGAAATCTCTAAAACTAAGGACGCTGTCAAATTTTTGAGACGAGTTAGAGCTTGGAATGATGTTGAAAGAGTTTACAACTCCCGAGGAATCAGGGCTGGTAAAGGTAAAATGCGAAACAGGCGAAAGGTTCAAAGACTCGGACCAGTTCTTATTTACGGAAAAGATTCTGGTTGCACTAGAGCTTTCCGCAACATCCCAGGTGAGTTTTCTTTATTTAAATCGCGTTGTGTAGTTTATCAATGATGATACCCGATCTTGGTCCGTGTTTCTGACTTCTGTGATTTATGAGATCTTCATTTTCTGAGGCATACTTACAGCTAAATTAAAACTCGATGAGTCAAGATTTTGTGACTAACTTTTGTTTTATAATTTAGGTCTTGAAACTATCAATGTTGAGAAGTTGAACCTTCTTCGTCTTGCTCCCGGTGGACATGTAGGTCGATTCTGTATCTGGACTGAGAGTGCTTTCCGTAAACTTGATGACCTTTACGGAACTTGGACAAAGGCTTCTAAGCTTAAGCGTGACTACAAGTATGTTTCTTTTGCCCTTATATCAATTTTCTTATTTTAATGATGTTTTTTCCTTCTTCTAGCCTTCCTCAACCTAAGATGTCTAACAGTGATGTCACTCGTCTTATGAAAAGCGAAGCAATCCGAAAAGTTCTTAGGAAACGAAAGTACGTTTTATTTTTTTGTTTCATTTTTCGATTTTGTGATGAATTGCACTGGGCTATGAGTAATGATTTCGACGTGCTTAACTGAAAATACAATTTAGCTACAGTCATATTCATCATAGGTGCATTTATTTTATAACTTTTAACTCAATCTTTGTTTTCTCTTTTCAGCACTCGTGTTTACCGAGCCAGAATTAAGCGTAATCCTCTTAAAAATCCATCTGTTATGTTACGTCTTAATCCATATGCTGGAGTTCTTAAAAAGAGACTTCGCCTTCAAAATATCAGACGAAGAAATGCTCGTCGTGTGCTTCTTAAAGCAGCCGCTGGACAGAAAGTCAGTGATAAATCTAAGAAGGAGGCCCTTGCCACTCTCAAGAAATATCACAGAACATCTAAGGATGCTCGAAAACTTTATGAAACTAGATACAAGGCTAGAAAGGAACAACAAATAGCAAAATTAGAAAGAAAGCGAAAGGCTATCGAGGGAACAGGAGAAGAAGCAACGAGATTACGAAAACAAAAGAAAGCCGATAAATAATGTTATCATATAACTAATGATTCGCTTTTGTGACAAATTTTGTGAAAAATTGGTTAACATAAATAAAGTTAAACTTCCTTTGGATAAAACTAAAGTCCACCTCATTTGTTTGAATTTTATTTCATTCTCTTAGCAGCAAACTAATTTTTAATATTTTTGATAATTTTCAAACATTTGCAAGGTGATAGGCAAATAAATATATTTGTGCTCATGGTGCTGCAATTCCAACTTTTATGCTAAAATTAGATCGTTAATCATAGTTATTTTTTCTTGTAAATTGAAAATAGTTGTATTCATTAACTACAATTGTTATTTGAGTTTACAGCAGCTGAACAGTTTCTGGTATTCATATCTTTCATTTGCTTGAAAAAGAAGAGTTGTGCCAGTTAGTCATTTTGAACAAAGCAAAATTAAATGATGATATGAGTGCATAAATGCAATCAATTTAAACTATTAATTTATAAATGACTCAAGCTTAAACATCAAATGAGTTCATTTTTGTTGCTATCATGTTCGAGCAAGTTTTAACATTTCCACAAGTCCATAACGCTTCGGGATTAAATCTAGCCCATTTTAAAGGCACAATTTTTTGTAGAAATTCTTATTTCTGCCATTATAAAATTTCAGATTGATTAAACTGCTTATAATTTAAAAAATCTAATTAATTATGAATTAATTTAATAACCAGGAACCAGAACCAGAAAAATTCAAAAACATCGCCAATCAGATGATTCAATTGTCAAAAGGGACTTCATTCTCATTACGGTTTGCTTAAATTTTCCAAACAACATTTGTCAAACAATTTTTCTTATGTTAGTAAATCCTTTAAATTGTCTCACATTCCAAATCAAATTCATTTATAAATTCATGACTATTTTGAGATAAAGATTGTGTAGCTTGATACTCTTTCAGTCATCGGTCGTTGCAATAACCTCAATATCAAAATAGGAAACCGACAGTCAACAAATTGAACCTAAACATTTTAAAGCTGTTTGCTGTTTAAAAAGAAATTTTTTATTCTCAATTTCTGTGTCAAATTAAGGTAAGTTTTTTTATTTATTTATCCAAACACTTAATCCATGATGGCAACCGTTTGTAACCTAGTCACAGAATTTTTGTGAAAGATATTCAATATTTAACATTCAGCCAATATGGGCATCGATAGTATTCAAATTACAGACTAATTTACGACCATAAGTGTAGTATACAGTCGATGTCCATAAATATTTTTTCTTCTGAAACAATTACCTTTGTGCCCAACTACAGGGAAAAAATTAGAAGTTTCAATTCATATCAATTGGCTTTAAGCTCGAAAAAAGTTTCTTAGTTATCAATCACACGGTTGATAAGTTAGACTTTATATAATAAATTTGGTTACGATTTTACAACTTTCATTTATTGCAGCATTTTCGAGTGTTTTTTGTTACTCTTTCTATATTAATGTTTTATCGGCTTTGGATTTTCCTAACTTTGACATTACTGACAAATTAAAAATAATCCAGAGATTGGATGATTGACTTAATTATATTATTTTATTAATAATTGACAAGTGTCTTCTTGGTATTTTTTAGTCATACGTGGATTGAGTTCTTCATTTTTATCCATACCTTTGTTAATTGTACTTGACTAATCGTTTTATCTGATTCTGATCTTCTCTTCAGATTATGTATCTTTTCTAACCAACTAGGTTATAAAAACAACGATTGCTCTCATAACGCCAAGAATTGATTTGAAAAGAATCATCAACAGATGCTGAGTATTTACACTTTGAGAACAGCTTAACGAGTTTAAATTGGATAATGGCTTTACGGAGACTCAGTGTTTTTTCATCATATTTCACAAAAGTGAGTGTTTTTCGAAACGAAAATATAAATTGAAATTATAAATTTTCTTTCTCTTGCAGATTGATGAAAACAGTGCGAGACATGGTGGAGAGCTGATTGCGCAAACTATTCATTCTCATGGAATAGAGAATGTTTTTACACTTTCAGGAGGTCATATTTCACCTATTTTAACGGCCGCCGAAAAATTAGGAATTCGTGTAATTGATACTCGTCACGAGGTTAATGCTGTTTTTGCTGCTGATGCTGCTGCTCGAGTCTCTGGTAAACCGGGAGTTGCTATTGTGACTGCTGGACCAGGTATAACAAATACAATTACTGGTATTAAAAATGCACAAATGGCTGAATCACCTGTTGTATTATTTGGTGGTTGTCCGGCAACCCTACTTAAGGGTAAAGGAGCTCTACAAGATATTGATCAGCTCTCTTTGATGAAATCAATCACAAAATGGCAAAAAACCATTACTCGAGTTCGTGATATTGTGCCAATAGTTAGAGAAGCTTTCCAAGTAGCTCAATCTGGAACTCCAGGACCAGTTTTTGTTGAGTGTCCTCTAGACATTTTGTATCCTTACAAAATGGTGAGTCGAGAGATGGCTGCTAAAGCTAAGGGGCATTCATTGAAAACTAAGTTAACAAATGAATATCTCAGCCTCTATGCTAAAGATCTATTCGCTGGTGCCTTTGATCAACAATGGAATTGTGATCCTTTAGAGATTTCATTCCCTACTCCAAATGAAAGTGATATAGCTAGAGTAGTTAGTCTATTGCAAGGTGCCAAGCGACCTTTGGTTCTCCTTGGTTCTCAATCTGTTTTACCTCCAATTGGAGCACACAAATTGAGAGAATGTATCGAATCACTTGGAATTCCCTGTTTTCTTGGTGGTATGGCTCGTGGTCTTTTGGGAAGAAACTCGTCTATTCAAATGAGACAAGCACGTCGAGATGCCTTAAAAGAAGCTGATGTGATCATTTTAGGTGGTATTGTTACTGATTTTCGTTTAAGTTACGGTCGAGTCTTGCCGCATACTGCAAAAGTGGTAGCAGTTAACAGAAATAGACAACAATTATACAAAAATCATGGAATATTTTGGAATTCCGAAGTAGCTGTTGAAGGTGATGTTGGGTTATTTTTCCATGGCTTAGCACAAGAAATGAAGAATAAAAACTTCTCAGTTGATCAGGGATGGATCAAAGCCTTAAGAGAACGAGATGACGGAAAAGAATCAAAAACCACATCCATGGCTGATGCACCAACTGATCAACATTTAAACCCAATTAAGCTATTAACTGAGCTTGAAAGTGTCATCCCTGAAAACAGTATTCTTATAGCCGATGGTGGAGATTTTGTTGGCTCTGCTTCTTACATTGTTAGACCTCGAGGACCCTTAACTTGGCTTGACCCTGGAGCTTTTGGTACTCTTGGATGTGGAGGAGGATTTGCTTTAGGTGCTAAAGCTGTTAAACCTGACGCTGATGTAATTATCTTATACGGTGACGGATCCCTTGGCTATTCAATGATTGAATATGACTCATTCGTTCGCCATAAACTTCCAGTTATTTCTGTTGTTGGTAATGATGCTTGTTGGACTCAAATCGCTCGTGAGCAAAAACCCATCCTCGGTTCTGACATATCTTGTGCTTTGGCCTACACTCATTATGAAAAAGCTATTGAAGGTTTAGGAGCTAAAGGATTCTTGTTGGACTCCTCAAACGGTGCAGACATGAAATCAGTTTTAAAACAAGCAATCCAAGAAGCTCGTCAAGGAAATCCTACATTAGTTAATGTTCTTATTGGTAAAACCAAATTCCGAGAAGGAAGTTTATCCGTCTAATCGTTCATCTTGATCCAAGAAAATATCAGAATAAAGATCCACTTAGAATTTTTTGCAAATTAAATCAAATTATTTTTAAAATCTTAGAAAAAGCTACTGTTTAAAGATTTTATATAAATTGCCTACAAATTTCAACTCAATATTTTACTGTTTAAATCAAAGTTGACTAAAGTTCAAGTTTGATAAAAAAATGCACGTTGTTAAATCCAAGGTTATTCAGATGTTAATAATGACAGATGAACAGATAATTTCAGTCACTTTGAATTAATCTGTTTCCCAACATTGATCCAGGGAAATACCTTAAAATTGAATGCTTTATTCAAATTATCTAAACTCCTTGGTCTCCTCTATTTGTATAATTATGTGCAATAAATCTAACCATAAATTCCAGATAATTTCAGTGACTGTGTGAAAATTTATTTCATTATCAAATAATCTTTGAAGTGATTCGTATTGCTAATACAAAGAAGGAATCCCCGAAGTATCAGAAGAAAGGTTCACGTAGAATCTTTCTTCTTGCAAATTAAAACGAATTATTTTGCAAAATCTCAGAATTAGTTACTAGCAGTATGGCGTCAATAGTAACATAGACAATAAATAAAATTTTCACCCTTGTTTGCAAAAGTTTGTCGCTTTTGTGAAAATTGATTTAGATGAATAAAAACTTATTTTGAATCTGAAGTCCACTTGATTTCCTGATTTATTTCGTTGTTAGTAGTATAATATTTGAAATAAGTTTTAAACATTTTAACAACTCTGATGAGGTTGTTATAAAAAGAAACAACAAAATTGTCTCATTTGAGCACAAATTGCAACAAATTAACACGAATGAGCAAAAACGGGAGAAAATGAATTTCTTTTCAATTTAAAATCTGCTGTTTGGTAGAAACCTGAAAACTAAATTCATGAGTGCTATTAAGAAATTTTTCTAATGGATAGTTTTCGAGAAAATCTTGGTCAAAGTTTGAACTTCGATAATCTTTTGTACAGTTATGGTAGCAGATTTAAATTCAAAAGCTAATTGAGGATGTTTCCTTAAGCTCCTTAGTACTTTTGTTACTTTGTTAATGCTGACATTTCCTTACATTGGTTTACTTTTGTCTGAGCTTTTAATGAACATTACTCTTTCTCTATCTGCACCTTTTCTTTTTGCTGGACCTGTCTTTGCACTTTCTTTCACAATTTCTGAGTATCATCTATTTTGTTGTTGAGTTTTCTTGAGTTGTCCAATTTGCTCTGAAACAGTATCTTTAATTGTCTTTGTAATTTGTTCCAATTGATCACTTTTTTGACGTTCATTTCAAACATTTTCCTTACAATATTGAAAGCTTTTATTATCTGGTTTTTAAAGCTCTCTTCATCTCCTTTACCAGTGTTTGGCTCAGGAACCTCAGGATGACTTTCAGCCATGTTCATTAAGCTAACAATTATTTCAATTGCAATTTTTGTTCAACAGTTAAGCGTAATCGATTTAATGGAACACCTTTTTTTGTTTTTACATGACTTCACTATCACAGTCGGTGACGAAAAATCTTCATTTTCTCCCATTTTCAGAACTTTGAAAAAATGGAGGGAAAAATACAAAAGTGTAAGCAAAAAAGAGGGTCAAAATTTTAATCACTTTCAAATTTTCAACTTTCAAAGATTGATTGACAATCCGATTGACATACCGGCCGATTCCTCGTCACTTTGTTAGTAATAATAGAGCAAAATTAACTAATAAAATTTGGTACTGATCATTATTAATTATGAATATAAATCCACTTAATTTAACACAACTTAGCGAGGTTTGAGTTTATTGAAAAATTTTAGATTGATTGGTTGTACAATCGGAGAGGGTTTCGCCTTTATGGCACTTACCTTCATCTTTTCAGATATTTCCTCTCAAGAGGTAGCGTGGCCGAGCGGTCTAAGGCGCTGGTTTTAGGCACCAGTCCGAAAGGGCGTGGGTTCGAATCCCACCGCTGCCATATAACTATTTTTTGCATTCCTCTGATTTTTTCATTTCAGATGTTCATTAGATTCATTTACTTTTATTGAAAGACTGAGCGTTATTAATGAAAAACCCTTGCATCAACAGTCACGTGATTTGTGTTTGTCTAACCTTAGTCGGTGGTTGAATCCACCAGGTGTCACTTATTCAGGTCTTTCGATGCAACTTTCTCTTTCTTTTTATTGCGTCTATTCATTGTTGGAGCCTGTCTATATTGCAAAGGCGTGGTTATTTGTGTCTGCAAGATTGGTAAAAATTGGACTTATTCTGGATAAAGGACTTATCTCTTGGTTTATTGACTTCTGTCGTTGAAAAATTTCCTTCCGTTCATCTAATTTGCACCAAATATTAATTTTCAGGTTTACTGTTACTTTTAAATTCATTTTTGTTCTTGATCTTGCATTAGAAAGCTTGATAACCCTTCAGATTTGCATGTGACATTTGAGTGACTCTTGGATTGAGTCTTCTATCTGAATCCTGAAAAAGATGGTCCTTTATATTTGAGAAGTAACTTCGCATGAAAAAAGGTTTGATTTATTTTTAGATTTCTTTGTTTTATAATCGACTGACTTAAATTTATTACAATTGGTGGAATAACTTTAACGAAAATGACTGACAATGTTAGCAATGCCAGTCCATCCAGTGATAATGCTACCAGTGATTCTCGTGATTCATTTAAAAGTGGTGGTGAAAATGATTTAAGCAATGGTAATAGTCAAAGCAACTCTAGTGACAATAACAAAGGAGAATACAAAGAGAATGAAGACATCGTGTTAGACATTGGTGATCATTTTCTTGTAAGACGGAGTGATAACACTTGGCGTGAGTATTTACATTGACTGTCATTATTTTTGCCTATTAGATTATATTTTCTTGAGTTTTCTATTCAAATTAAATTACTAATTTATTTCCTCAATTCTTATCTATTTCTTTGTCTATATCATTCACATCCTATTTTCAATCTTGTCTCATTTGTTTTTGCTTCTTTTTTTTGCAGACTCTGCTGAAGTCATTGAAGTCAGATCTAATCCTCAAGAAGGAGGACGTTATGAGTATTATGTTCATTATGAAGGATTAAATCGCCGTCTTGATGAGTGGGTTGGTCGTGATAGAGTAGACATTAGCTCTGGTAGCCGTGCCAAAGCTGAAGCTGATGCCAGAGCTGCTAAAGAATCAGCTGTCATTACTCCGCAAATCACTGATGATGGAAAACCTGAGAGAAAAATCACTCGAAACCAGAAGAGAAAGCACGATGAGATCAACCATGTCCAAAAAACTTTCGCCGAAATGGATCCAACTACAGCTGCTTTAGAGCGGGAACACGAAGCCATTACCAAGGTTAAATATGTCGATAAAATTCAATTTGGAAAATATGAAATTGATGCATGGTACTTCTCACCATTCCCAGAAGACTACGGCAAACAACCAAAACTGTGGATTTGCGAATATTGTATAAAATATATGAAACTAGAGAAAACATACCGATACCATCAAGCTACTTGCTCTTGGCGACAGCCCCCTGGAAAAGAAATATACCGTAAAGGAACCATTTCAGTGTACGAGGTTGATGGAAGAGAGCACAAAATTTACGCCCAAAATTTATGTCTATTAGCAAAACTGTTTCTCGATCATAAAACTCTATTTTTCGACGTTGAGCCTTTCCTATTTTACATTCTTTGTGAAGTTGATAATCAAGGTGCTCATTTGGTTGGTTACTTTTCTAAAGAAAAAGAATCGCCTGATGGCAATAACCTCGCTTGTATTCTGACTTTGCCTCCCTACCAAAGGAAAGGTTACGGAAAATTTTTAATTGCATTCAGTTATGAAGTATCCAAACTGGAAAATGTTATTGGATCACCAGAAAAGCCACTTTCCGATCTTGGAAAACTTAGTTACCGTAGTTATTGGTCCTTCGTGTTGCTAGAGATTTTACGTGACTTTCGTGGTACTCTTTCTATTCGAGATCTAAGCCAGATGACATCAATTACTCAAAGTGACATCATTTCTACTTTACAATCTCTAAACATGGTAAAATACTGGAAAGGTCAACACGTTATTTGTGTTACTTCTAAACTAGTTGAGGAACATCTGAAAAGTGCCCAATATAAAAAACCGAGATTAACTGTTGATGTTTCTTGCTTAAGATGGGCTCCTCCCAAAAAAACCGTCAAAAAGAAATGAGTCTGTTGAAGCTAAAAAGCACCAAACATTCAACTGCTGCTCTGGACATGGATTTGCTTCGATCACATTTACTTGGAAGCTGATATCTTTTAAAGCAAATTGGCAATCAAGGTACAAGCACTAACAGATTCTGAAACTGTATAAACTTCTTCCTTTCAAAGATATTCAATCTTATTTAGATTGATGACTCCTGATGGTCATCTGTATTCAAAAATTGAAATATCGATCACTTCACTGGTTTTGTTTTCCGTTTGAATTAGGAACCTTGAAAGAATCAAACTACTTTCAATCAATATTTTCTTTTAATAATTTCACTCATTGAATGTCGAGACAATATTTACTGAAAGCTTGATGTCGTTTTACAAAACTAGTTGTAACCAAATCATTTCACCAATTGAACAAACTCTTGTAGTTTTGTTTTGGGTGATTTTCTTTCAAAAATTTAACTACTTAACGAATCAATTTCGAACAGTTTAGTTTTCATGAACTTTAATTTTAAGAATATTTAACCGTTCTTTCTTCTCTATTTCTGTCAACCTGTCATTTTATCGGATTCAAAGATTCGAACAGTAATGAAATGAACTGTGAAGATGAAATGATTAAAGTTTCACTTCTCGCATTTATCAAATTCAACCAACTAACAAAATTTTAAGATTGATTTGAAGCTTTTAATATTAGCTTCAGTAAAATTCATGAGTTGAAAAAATTATTGAAATTATCATTGTTAGTTCTCCAAATCTTTCAACTCTTATTCAAACATAAAACGACATGATTCCGGATACATAATTCGTTGAAATCAATTAACCATCCGCACTCAACTTCGTGAAGAAGCTAATCACAAACTCATCGAGGAAATCTCCGAAATTCATCATCTACATGACCTATCTTCATTGTCTGTACTTCACTAGTCTTAGAATATCAACTAAACGTTTGACAGATCACACCACTGGATCATCCTTTCCCCATATTCAACCGATTCTTGCATCTGCTGAATCTGACCTATCACTGAGGAAAAAAGCGAGGTGGAAAGAGTAAAAGTGTATTAAACCATCGAAAAATAAATCATTTATCTCTTTTCTAATAAACATTCTATGAAGATACACAAAAAAAGCATTCTTACGCTTATTATATCCTAATTACACTGCATCGGTAATGAACTATACATATGATAATATGGGTCGAAACCATCATAATTTAATTTATCATTCGCGATTTATATTCTACAAAATTTTTAGAACATCGAGTTTGGAAGGCTTGAGATGGACAGATTTCAAAATCAACGATTTCTCAAAAAGTACATGTGTATCTCAAAATGATTCTGATGACACTTTTGAGCCACACTTTACACGAAAATAAAAGCTTTTGCTTAAATATCCTTCCTCAATTTAATGAGTTCATGATTTATCCTTTTTGACCGAGAACATCACAAAAAACATACATACACACATGAGAAAAGAGTTCCTTTTAAATCACGAGAGTTGTAAAAAATGATTTGAATTATGGCAGCATTCGATGCTTGAAAGACTTGTTAATTGTCTCAGCCGATTGATGACCGTGAGATATCTTCAGTTCCCTTAGAGTCGTACAAATCAAAATTGGTTAGATCATTCTCTGATTTAAGTTTGGGCATCATTTCACGATATTTTTGAAGATACACTTTTAGAGGTTCAATATAATTATCAAAGCCCAAACTAGACATGGCAAAAAGAATGTCTTCTCCGTTGATTGTTTTCCGCTTCTCTTGATGACACCGATCACTTGCTTCACTGGTAATAAAGCTAATAAATTCGGAAACACATTCTTGTATACATTCTTTAGCATCTTTGGCAATTTTACCCGATTTAGGGATAGATCTTTTCATGATTCGAGCAATATTTGCTATGGGCAAATATCTATCTTGTTCACGTAACGGTCTAGAAGAATGGCCAGAGTCGGATTGTTCATTCTCAGTTGTCCCGCCATCCTGAGAATCATCGTAATCATCTGTGACAGATAAAAAGTGAGAGTGAAAGATTATGAAAAACAGGAATAACAACAATAGAAAAGCCATCGTATTGAGTCATTACGGATAAATGACGAAGTTTGCCCATTTAATTGGTGTTAACACTCACCTGAACGAGAATTGACCATATACTTTTCAGACATAGACTGACTATCACTTTCCTCCATCTTTAAGTCACAATTAAATTAATCAATATTTTTGTGTTTAAAACGAGAATAAAAGAGCAAGCAAGTAAAGAAAGAAATTGAAAGAAACGAGAAAACAACACAGATATATTAACAGATACAATAATCGATCATCGAAAAAATTTTAAATGCACATCGATAGAATCGTAAATTTGAGTTTCTTTCACAGGTGAAAATTTGAAGTTTCCTGATATTGCAAGGAATACGATTTGAACGATTTGATCTTTTCAATTGAGCAAAATTAAACATGTCTCAAAGTATGCGATCAGACATGAATCTTTATTCCAAGTATCTTGCATGCTTTTCCGCTTGTCAACATCCTACCATGAGAATTGCCTGGGATGAGTTTACTTGTGAATCACCTCGGATACCAATGAAAATCAAAACAATAACAAAACAAAATGACAATGGATTAAAAATTTTCGAATCGAGTTAATTTACTCCGCTTAACTGTAGTTATATGCAATGTAAGTTAAATTTTCATTTTTCCAAGTTTCTATTTCCAATTTTGTTTGTATCTTATCAAATTATCAAATTTACAAAACTTAATTTCAAGTTATCGATTTTCATTTTTTTCGCTTCATTGCTATCACTTCAGTAACTCGAATAATTGTTTCGTTAATGTGAAATTATAATAATGCCAAGTCAAAACTTGGCTCGTATCGATTGGCGGAAATTATCAGCGATTGAAGTGAATACTTTTGAATCTGAGCTTCAATCCAATCGTTGGTCAGTCTCTGAAATTGGCTCAATGATCGCTTATTCTTATATTGATTCTGAATTTGTAAGTACTGATTTTTAAATTTAAATCATGTTTCATCTATTCATTTATTTTCCTGATTTCACCCTATTTAAGCCCTTTTCTGCTATTCTTTAATTTGAAAATTTTTGTGCATCACTTCTTATTAGGATTTAAATTCAGTGGACAGTAATTTCATCAAAGTATTTAAACTGAGCCAAATTGTTATTGCTTATCTTCTGGAAAAATATTTCAACCATTATGAGCAGCTGAAGGAACAAGTCGATCAAGCTAATTACATTGTGCAAGAAAATCGCAAACTTCGAAAGCTTCTCGAAGTTTACAAGCAAGCATTTACATTTGGTGGATCAATTAGTCGATCGATTGGAACAGATATAAGTGAAGAAAATCATGATAAATTATTTAATCAATTTCAGTGTCCTGATTGCCCGAAAGCATTTGGTAACTCAGTTTATTTGCAAAGTCATATTTATCGTCGACATCCGGAAAATTCAATTATTTCTAGAGGGTTAATGCCACTTACACAACGTATCAATCAATATCATTCGGCTCTTCTTCCATCAGCGACTGTTGATGATGTTAAAAAAGAGTTAGAAAATCTGAAGGATCAATTAAAGAAGACAGAAGATCAATTAGTTGAAGAAAAAGAATCTCGAATGGCCTTGCAAGTTCACTTAGACACCGAATTGGAAGCAAAGATTAAACAATTGACGTCTTTATTGGAGCTTAATAAGAATGGCGATAATTCTAATCTAATCAGCCAACCGTCTAATATTCAGCAAACTGATGGTGGTTCTAAATTATCATTGGAAGATGAAAACACAGACAATCGAGATGAGACTGATGGTGATCAAATATCGCCATCCAAACCTTTAAATGTGGAAGAAACACAAAACTTGACTGGATTACTGTTGGCTCACACTCAAGAAGTTCGGAATCTTGGAAGTAATTTACAGAAATTAGTTGATAAATTATGGTCTAATGATTCCTTGGCAGGCCTAAAAAGTTCAAATGATATTGGACAACTGGAAAATGATAAAAAAATCGAAACTAAAGTCAACGCACAATCTACTTCAGAAAAGACTGAGTCAGAAAATGACCGCGAATTTTCAAGTCAAGGAATCCAAGTTTTATCATATTTAGATAGATATATGGAAGCACTTGGGATTATGGACAAATCATGCATCAGGAGTAATGAATTTGCCGAAGCAATGAAAGTAATAAAAGAAAGAAGAAAAAGAATTGGATTCCAAGACAAAGTTGATTCACTAAAAGACGCTCTTGAGTATGAAATAAGAACTCGTAAAATTGGCCAAACATTAGCACAACTGAATGACGAGTCAACAAGCTCAACAATGCATGATAAATCATTAAATGCTTCTCAAAAAGACTCTGTTAAATCGCCCTGGCTGATTGCAAAGAGCTCATTAGAAGAAACCTCAGCAAAACAGCAAGAAAAACAAAATCGAGTTAGATTTGGTGGAATAACTATCCAGGAATTGGATAAAGCACAGCCTCAAGAATTTAAGGCAGAAAAGGTACCTAAAAAGCTGTGGACAAAACCTAAATCAGTTTTAATTAGAAGAGATGCTCAAGGAAATCGAATTGGTAATGTTGATAACAAACCAAAAAGAAGAATCAGTTTCAGTGAAAAGCGAATTGAAATCAGTCCAGAATATTCCAGTGATGACGACGACTTTGATCAAATGATGGCTGGTGAAATACAAACAGCTACAATTGAAGTTACTGAAGATGATAAATTAGAATCAATTAACGATAGTGCAATGGATATTTCTCTGAACAAAGCACAATCATGTCCAAAACCTTTATATTTGCAGCCGTCACCAGAGTTATTATCAGATCCTGCTCCACCAACACCTAAACCAAGAGCCTCTAAATCTTTTGGTCTCAATGATCACCTTTCAACAGCAGATCTAAAGTGGTTTGATTCAGACGGAAGTGATGAGATTGAAGAGGACAATCTTGAAAGGAAAAAATCACAAAAAGTCAATAATACCAAGAATATTGAGAACAGTAATAAAACGCTTTCAATGGCTTTGGATGACGACGATCAACGTGTTAGTGTGACTGAATTAACAAAGATAATTGAGGAGCAACTGCACAATAGACAGAACAGGCAGGCCAACAGTAAAACTAATTTGACAAATTCTGTGGATGCTGTTACCGGGAAAAGCAACAATACAAATAGTGGCTACGGGGTCAAAGCAATTGGTACATTAAATTATGACTCTGATTCTGATTAGTTCATCATTTCTTCTCACTATTTCATGTAAAATTTCAAGATTTCCGTTATTTTTTCGTTTATTTATTTAAATCAATTTTTGAATGAAAACTCGTAATCAATATAAACCAGAATGTATAACTGGTACTCTTACTCTTTGATATCAATTTTCAATCAATGTTAACAAGTTAATGTTTAACTTGCTCTTGTAATGATTTTACAAGAAATTACTGTAATAGCTTTTAGCTTTCAAACAAGAATCATCAAAACAATTACAACTACTGCTAATTGTAATTTGGTAACAATTTCAAAAGGAAAATTGACAAAAATTTTTTGAAACATTGGATTTACATTGATTCTCATGAGAAATAATGAAATCAATAAATGGTCTCATCAGAAATAAAATAACTTATCGATTTTTCAATACTTTGCAAATTGAATAATTATAATAGTTTAGATAGAGCCATTTTTGTAACACACACACACAATATACAAAAAAAGATATTTTTTTCCATCGGTTTTTACCCAATTTTCAGCAGCAATAAAACTCAGGTAAGCTGACATTTTCAATCATAAAGATTTACCTTTTCGTCCCATTTATAATCCTTGAGTTAAAATACTAATTGACTTGAGCTTCGAAAGTAGACGCTCGAATAAGGGCTGAGTTGAAATCTTCTTAAGCTGTGTAAATAAAAATTTTTGGGAAACGGAAAGAAAACCTTATGGATTATTTGAGGACACATTTGGTTTATTAAAATCCCTAAACATGGTTAAAATATCTAAAAATGTGAAAGCAAAATTACCCTTGGAATTAAAAGAGAGTTGTTTGCGTGGGTCTCTTCACAATGAAAGGGAAAGAGTAAGAAGAAGAAAAAAAAGGAGGTTTGTAGACAGAAAAGATAGACTCCCTTATTTTTCATCATATTGAGAATAATGATGATGATGACTCTCTTAACTAAAAACTGAGAGTCTCAGTTGGTTAAGCTGGTAAGCTATTTGTTGTTGTTTTCCTGTTATGCAGTGTTTTTCATTTCTGTCTATTTACCGTTGTTGTAGGTTAGAGATCGATAAAATAGAAGACTCTGGCTGATTTGGACCTTCTACAAGGTCAACCTAAGACTATCTATTTTGTTCTCATTTTCATCGGTTTCTTAACTATCAAATTAATTGTCAGTGTTAAACGAAACATGCCTGTTCCAGCCAATTCATACCGAAGTAGTTCCAATTATCGAGGAAGCAGTGTTATTGGTTTTGGTTCTTCTTCATCTACAACCAGCAGCTCAAAGCCTCCAATATCGTCCAACACTTTTCCATCTTATCGAAACAGTGGTTCCTTTGATTACTCATCACCCTCCATCTATTCCACTTATAGAGCCTCATCAAGTAATAGATCATCGTCTTCATCATCCACATCATCGTCCTCATCTTCGTCATCTTCATCTCTATCCTCACTTGCATCTTCATATCACTCACCATCGTCTTATTTAACATCTCTATCCTCTTCCTCATCATCCTACTATCGACCCTCAAGTCTGTTATCAACATCAGGTAAGATAACCACACATTCCTTTTATTTATGGTACATATACCTATTGAAATATTTCATTGGTGATCACTGATCACGAGAATCATAATTTTAGCTCAGCTTTTGATGATATCAAAACGCTAGTAATGGCTTTGGGTGATCATGAGCTGTAAAAGTACCTTTACTTTCAGACTTATCACTTGGCGTGTTCTTATCAAATATATGAGTAAATTTATGGCGATGATTCGCAAAAGCTAGATGCTTAGTCTTTAAAATAAGAGTGATGATTGACTGACAAGCGTTTATTGAGAAGAAAAGAAATCTCAGTTGTAACACTTTGAATTTAATGATACTTTTAACAATAAATCAACCCCTTTTAGCGTGTACTCTTAATCAGCGTAATAATTTCCATCACCAACATTGGTGGTGATGTTAATTCAATAAATCCTGAGCGCTTCCACTGTTTACTTTTTTTATTTATGGTGATAGTAAAACAGATTTCTAAATAGTGATCTTTGTAACGTTAGATATTAACTGATCTCTCCATGAATCTTTCATAATTTCCTGTGTCTATTGTAAGTAATAACCAAGTCTATTCAATCTCAATTAAATGTTAGTCTGTAGTGATATAGTGAATCATAAATTGACCGGTTCACCAAGATTAACATCAACATAGACATAACCAGCTTAACCCATTTTCCTTGTATGTCAACATGTTACCCTATTGTCTGGTGATTTCCATTGCTTCTTCTTGAACTTAATGGTCATGAATTTTTCCTCTGTCTACCGACAAAGCAAAAAACAACTCTGAATCAAGACAAGAGAGAGAAAGATAAGAAAAAGAATTTCGAATCTACTGGAATTCTGTAAGACTAGAAGAAGGAGGAAGATCTTTTGGATACAATGAGGAAAGTTCATAGAGAGAAGGGGAAAAGATGAAGTTTTTATTTCTCTCAAGGTCTTCCAAGGAGCCTTAAGCTCTTTCTCTCTCACATTCTCTTCCCTATCATCTTTTCATCTTTTTCATCTTTTCTCTATACCTGACTCCCTCTCTTCCACTCTCTCTCACCCTCTCTCATTGGTAGTTTGCATCAGTTAACCGTGCAAACATCATCTTACCCATGATTAATTCACCTTTTATTCATCAGGATACATTTTAATGTTACCTGGTTAATGAAAACTCATTGTCAGCCAACCAGTTTGATTTAACCAAAAACATTCCATTATTAACTCATCTTTTCAATTTCATCTTGACATTCATCTTTAATCAATATTCATCTCAATCAACTGCCAAATCAGATCAATCATCAATACCCAAAGTTTACTTCATTTTTTCGTTAATTATTTCATCTTCACCAATCAAGTCAATTTAAATATTCTCAATCAGTTTAAATTGATTAAATCTCACCACATATCAACATAATCTCAAAAAAGTGGATCAATAATAATTTACATCATGTCTGTTCTTTCATACCAATTATTTCCAGGATTTTCATCCACACCATGCACTGTTACATTAACCCGTTTTAACCCTAGACGATCAAGTATCGATCAGAACGATGATGACACGGATTCTCTCTCATCAACTAAAGTAAGTTTCACTGAACAACCCAAAAAACGAAACCACCATCATGTTGTTTCCTTTCCTCATTTCACCTTTTTTTAATCGCTTGACTTCCCGGTTGCAATTACAATTTAATCATCATCAGACAATCATCAGTTAATTTGCTTTTTTGTTTAACAAACACATCTTGAACTGTTTTCAACTGAAAAAAGCTGATGAGTTAAGAGGAATACTTGAAACCGTATAACCTTTAATCTCAATTAACTTATTGATTGTCAATTGATGAACATTAAATGATGACAAGACAATTAATTTATTTTCTCTTCCATCTTTCAGTCATCATCTTCAATATCTTACCTGTCACCTTTATCACGACGAAAAAAATATACTCTCAATGACTCCATAATTCGGGTAATTATCAATAGCAACCCAAACCTTTCTATTAAAAACCATTGAGAACCCAAATTTCAATTCTGGTTAAGTCACAATTTCAAGTTTACTAATTTGTTCATAATCGACACTTAATGCGATTCAATTTGGTTAAAAATTGAAACATTTACATTGTAATTATCATTAAGAGTTTAATTACCAAGTATCATAATTGTCTATTCTTAATAACTCTTTTGAGCTGACAATCAAAGTCTCCAATTAATACAATTTAATCACAAACACTTGTTTGTTCAGTCAACTATTAACATGTAAATGAAACCTTTAGTGTCATCACTTGTTTTTTGAATTCAATTAACATTTCATTTCAACAATTTTACTGTTGATTTATTTTGATTAAATTTTCAGTAATATTATATCTTTGCATTGAATACAGTTGAATAAATTACATTAGGTTAAATTAATATTGTTTTAATCAATAGTCGTTGATTTATATACATTTTAACCCATATAAATATCAATGAAAATATTGGCAAACAATAATACCTTTACTTAATATTCATCGACTAATATTAACCATTTGTTTCTCCATCGTCTTCCCAACTCGTAATTCAATATTGACTAAAATATGCTGATTTATTGGCGATTAATTACAAAATTGACTGAGATTACAATTAATTGTGAGAACAATATTAATATCTGATTAACCGTTTATTCGTTGGTTATCATGACTTAAATTATTTTTTCCTGTTCACTTGTTAATGTTAATAATTAGGTTTGTGTTTCCATTACATGTTGTCAATTGACTAAAATGAAATTAATTATTCCCCAAGTTAAATAGGCTAACATCGGTTGCAAACTTTTGTGCTGAGCTGTTTGATTAAGATAATCATATTTCCGTCATCGTCATTATCGTCATCATGTTGATGATATTCATAAGAACATATCATTATCATGATGATGATCTTAAATGAATTTTCAATTTTGATTTGTTTCATCGATAATGAATTTATTGTAAAATAATTAAAACACCAATTGTGAATCGCAACCAATTGTGTGTTGACTAACACACTGAGCTAAAAAGCATGATTATTATCGAGCCAACCTGAATAGTGATTCAAGAGGAAGTAGGAGGAAGATGAACAGATTGAAAGGATGATAACAAGAAATGATGAACGATTCATTTTTCAACTGATTCACTTTGATAACTTGACATTAACTTCATTTTAAATATCAACTGAAAACATGGGAAAATATATCTTTAAGCTGAATCAAGGAAAGTGATACAAAAAAAGGAATTTATTTTAGATTAAAAGACCTTGAATTTTCTGATGATATTTTCTTGTTCAACATGAAACAATAAACATTTCCATTTTAAATGTTTCCAATGATGCTCTTGATATTGCATGATGAACATGAATCGCTTTCACTTTCCACTTGAATCACTTTTCAGCTCAACAATTTTAAAACCTTTAATATTCATTGAGTTATTATTGTCTCACAAAGTTAATTACACTTTGAATAATTGTTTCCATAATTGATTCACTTCAACTGATTTCTTAATTAAAATTTTCATTGGGTTCAAATGAAGTTATTATTTTGCTATTGATGCTATTTTTGCAAACATTCAATTCACGTGTTTAATTGTGTTTATCAAATGATTGATGGAAATTACTTTTACCTGTTTATTTAAATTTTTGCTTCTAAAATAGCTTTTGATTTACCTGATTATCTAAAGTCTAAAACTTGAATTGATTCGTCTTATTATTTGCATGAATGGTGAAAATAGTGAATGTCATTATGAGTTGAATTAGCATCTGATATCGATCGTCTTAGAAGTGATTAAGCTCAATTCATTTACCTGAAAAGTCTTGCAATTTATCATTGAATCTTTTGCAAAAATTATTTCATATTGATTTATCATATTTTGTCAATTTGTTATCCAAGTTGTCCTTGACTATCTGATGAACTTTTTTATTCCGAGGATAAAATTGTTTCATTGAATGAGAATGTAAAAGTTGTCCAAAGCGTTGTTAATCAATTGATTACAATTCAATTTTCATTTGTAATCCTTATGCAATTGTCAATTCCTGATGACTCCTTATATTGACAGATGAAATATGATTTATAAATATTGAATCTTTTTCATTAATCGATTGAAAATGGTATCAATAAAAGAGGGAAAAAATGAATGAAACTAAAAGTAAACCAAAGACAATCAACTGTAAATTGAACAAGTTGCATCGATCATGAATCGTTGATTCTTTCAGCCTTTAATCATCTCAATCAAGGTTTCAAAACTTACATAGACTGGTGTTAATAGTTAATGTGGCCAACAAGAATGCAGTTAAACCAGTTTTAAGGTATTTTTCAGTTTCTCCGAATCTTCCTCTTCAATTTTTCACGCTCTCCAAAAGTCAAGTTACTAAACATTAATAGTGATGTCGATACAATTTTGATGCTAATATTAACAATTAACAGTATTGTTTACCCTGAAGCCTTTTCACCTCAAGACTTCCTTCATTTCAACACATTTGCAGACCATTAACGTTATCCAATGATTAGCATTTCATATCAATTTCAAGGTTTCATCAAGTTTCCAATTGAACAAATTGAAAGACTCATTTCACTCTGCATACGATTATCTGTTTAACCTGTAAATCTATTGCGATACAACTTTTTAATTGTCAATAATTTCCTGTTGAATCAATCAACAGGCGCAATTGGCATCAATCTAACGTTATACTTGTCACACAGATAATTAATTGTTTCCCATTTTATTATTTTATTTGGTTAACACTTTCAATCACAAGTAAACCATAAAACTTTCACCCGAATTGAATGTTGCTTAAAAAATTTGAAGGCAAGAATAAACAAACGATTAGATTGCCATAAACAACCATTAATCAATTTATCATGAGTTGTACTTATGATTGTTCATCATGGATGTTGATGATTTAAGGGATGAAGATTCTGAAGATGCTAAAGATGATAGGAAAGTTAAAGCTACTGCCTTGAAAATATTGCAACAATTTTCATTGAAAAATTTCTCAGTAAATAACCAATTTCAATGGTGAAACTCATTTTTCCCTTCAAGGTTGAAAAGGAAGAAACTGTGTCTATTTAAATGACAAACTAAGGCATAAAACTTGAGCTATTCAAATGTGTGTGAATCTCATGAAGAAAGATGAATCAACCTTGAATTGTTTCTTTTATCATCACAAGTGAAAGGAAGGCTCAATTTCTTGTTGATTCTTGTTATCTTCTTGATCATCCTCATCCTTCTGATCATCATTTTTTTATTGCAATGATATCAATGATAAATCAGAGAAATGTGAAACAAAATAAGATTCCCAATGAAAGGATACCAAATGATGAGGTATTGAAAGATAAAGAAATGAAGATGATTTTATCTCGTTTCATCCATTTTTTGTTCATTAATCCAGAATTATTTTTGTAAAATAACCTTCTAATAAGTACAATGTCAACTGATTTACAGTCGCGTGTGTTTATCACACAAATAATTTACCTTTTCATCCGTTTTTATCACAATTTCATTTTACTTCTAGAATTGGTTATTTCCACTTTGATTGCTTTCTCATTAACCGATCACCTTAATCATCTTTTCTTAATTAAACGATGCTTTCCTTGATAAGCAAAAAGCTCCAAATAGTCAATTACTATTAACCTTTGATTATCGCTATTGTTATTGTATCATTTTCCTACAGCACTTGAACATTCCTCTGTTAATCATTCAACACTAATTGCAGTTAATTTAGGTTCACCAGTTAACTGAACAGAAACAATCGTCTAATGGCAATCAAATGAAGCAACAATTTAGTTATGAAAATATTCATATTATCAAGAGTACGACAGAGTCTACATCTAGTGTCTCAATTAACTCAATTGCAAGGATTGACCTTTGATTAATTTGTTGTTGGTCTATTCAGCAATTTCAGATGTTTCTCATTCCAAAATGAGATTAATCATGATGAATGTAAACAGGTATTTGGCTTTGAAAAAGTGGTTAACCAATTGATTGGGTTTTTCACTTTATTTCACTTGTAAACTGCAAGTAAACCAACACTTTGATTGAATGAACTGAAATGAAGTGAGAGCGAAATATCAACAGAGACTTTAGTTAATCATTTAGGTTACATTGATTGTGGGGTCGTCTGTTGTCAAAAGGTCACAAGAATTTTGTATAAAATTCTTAATGCATCTATATGATGAAGTTTCCGATGAATTATCGTGACAACCATGTCACGACAAATGAAATGTACCTTTATTGACGCCTTTGTCGATCTCACCCATTCACGGTCAATTAGATGACATTTAATTGACCGCGAATGGTCATTTTATGTTAAACTTTACTCTAAACTCAACCAACAATCACCCAATCATTCAACTCATATTGTTGACTCTTTTTCACCAACATATTTAAATTTAAACCATTCATCTCCTACAATTATATTGTTGCAATCCTTTCCAATAAACTGGTTCAACAAAATACATTTTATACTTGAATTGAAAAGGTGAAAAAAAAGGGAAACAAATTTCCAATGGAACTCAATGGTATTTAATATAAACTTTTGTCAACTGAATTTACTCACAATTAATCTCCACTTCTTGTTGTTCAACAGAACCCATCAAACATTGCCGGTTTAACAAACCTTGGTAACACTTGTTATATGAATGCTATATTACAATCTCTATATGCTACTGAAGGTTTCAGAAATTACGTCACAAAATCTCGCAGAGGTTCACTTAATTCAGGTAAGCTTGTTTAATCCTTGATTCCTTGATTATCTTGATTAAGTGTGTAAATGGGATCATTATTTGAGCGACACAAAAGATCACTTAACCTTTTTGTTTTCACAAATTTACTCTTTCTCTTTCTCTCTTCTGTCGAACCCAGTTTACTTTAATTACACACCTGATCAATATTATCAACTTGATTAATTAATCTCTGTTTCTCTCTCTTCAGCTTTGGGACAGTTATTTGAAGAAATGATAAGTTCCATTAATACAAGTGTTAACCCAAGCAGTTTTCGAAGTGCATTTACTCGAATACAACCAAAGTTTCGTGGATACGAGTGAGTTTCTGCCGCCAATTTAATCAGGATGATTCCTCGATTAACATGAGATGATTGTTAGCTTAATATCTTTAATGATAATTAAGTCAATAGCCAATTAATTACTTTATCAAGATTATCCTGATAACTCAGGCTTTAGTGTAATATCATAGTAACCTGATTAGTTGACAAGTTGGACTTTTTGCTTTTCTCTTCTTTTCCCATTTTTACTCTTATTTTATTTTCGTTTTCATGTTCAACTTGTGGGTTTACTTTTCTTGTTGTGATTAACATTTTCTGTTTATTTTTTGCTCTAATTCAACTAATTGTGATTAGTTTCTTTGGTTAACCGGAATCCATTCCAATTGATTATTAATCTTTTCCTCCTCCACTAACTCCTCTTTTGTCTTTCTGTTTACTAACTTTTCCCTGATCTTATTTTTTCATGTTGACAACAGACAACAAGATGCGCAAGAATTTTTTCAATACCTGATCAATGCCTTACATGATGAGGTTAACACTGGAAGTTTTGGCTCTTCATCAAGAAACTCTAAAAGTCGTAAGTCGAAATATTATTTTAAGAAACTTATTCCTTCTCTTTACTCCATTTTTCATCATCTTTCCATTTACTTATTGCAAAACTCAATTCAAATTCCTATCTCAATCTCATACAGAATCTCATTTAACTTTTTCTCTTCTATTTATCTATTAGCCAAATCATCTATAGAAGCATGGGAACGATATAGAATGCTGGAAGATTCACCTTTTGTAGACCTGATTGCAGGTCAACTATCGTCAACAGTAACATGTTCAATCTGTGGAAATGCTTCGACCTGTTGGGACCCTTTTTGGGATCTATCTCTTCCTCTACCAAATAATGTGTAGGTTGCTTCAAAACTAATATAATCAACTGATTGCTCTTTTACCATTTCCACCGAGGATTTGGAGCTATTTACAAAGATCAAATAGCGAAAGACAATAAAGTAATTGTTCGAGACGATTCCTTCAATTTACCTCAGCAACTTTGAATACAAAAGAACACCCAATATTTAATTTTTCCGAGAATCACGTTATGGGAGAATTGAAAGTTCAATTATCAATTTATCGATCAGATTTAGTGATTCTGTCTATTTTCAAATTCAAATCAAAGTAAATTTCGTCTGATTGTTGCTTTCGCCTATTTGGTTTTTGTCAACTCAAGCCTTTTCATGATCACCTATTTATAACTGCAATTTTAACCTTTTAATTCTCTTTTTTTTCTTGCTTTTCAATATTCCATTTTTAGGCGAGAAACTGACATTGAAAGATGTCTTAAGGAATTCACTGCATTGGAAGAATTATCTCGAGATGAATTGGCGGTAATTATAATTTGTCTGACAAAATTTTTACTCATTTATTAAACTTGAAACTAATTGTAATTTTCATTCCTTTTATCAACTCTCCTCGTCATTGTTTGGAAATTTGATGAATCATTGACATCACTGGCCAACCTAGAAATGTGACCGATGTGATAAACCCACAAAATCGACTAAGAGATTAAGCATCGAAAAAGCTCCTCAAGTACTTATTTTACGTAAGTTTATCATTGTAACTCCAAATGAATAGCAATTCACTAAATTTCGTTATTTTTCTCATTTTAGATTTAAAAAGATTTTCTAATGATGGTTATAAATTAACTATGCCTCGAGTAATTGCCAATGAACGTATTGCGACTCGATCAAAACATTATTCACTCTCATCTGTTGTACTTCATCATGGTAGCTCGATACGATCTGGACATTACACTGCTTACAGTTTACATGGATCTAAATGGTTTCATTTCAATGATGAAAGGTAATTAGTAAATATAATCATGGAATTGCAAAAATACTAATTCTATTTTCTCTTCTTCTTTTAGAGTAACTGAAATTAAAAATTTCAGTCCAAGTGACGCTGAAGACGCTTATATTTTGTTTTATGTCGAAAGTTCATGTTCATCACGCCTTTGAATACATTTTTCTCATCAATATGACGATAACTCGCCTCCTCATCTACGCATAACTAACAAAACATTTGTTATATATATAATATATATATATATTTTATCTGCAGACTCAAACGTTTCAATATAACACGTTGTCATATCAAATCGTTCAAATAAGAAAAGTTGTTCATAAAAGTGATTATGATTATACCAAAAAAACATCTAATTATTATAGCAAATTAAATTTTCGGTCACTATTAACTGTTATTTACTTATTTAATGATAAGACGACCATAAAACCAGAAATGAAATATTTAGTTGAACGAATTTGCTCAAAATACTGAAAAATTTGAAGAAAATAAATTTAATTATCAAAGTTTAATCTCAATTTTCATTTAATTGATTCTAATGAAAGTGTAATTATGATTCCCTGGACATATTGGCTGATACCAAATAATGAGTTGAATGAAGACGAAGTAACAATCCAAGCTTAGACAATTTCGGAAAACTTGTCTTCTAAAAAATGATAGTCTTATTCGAGCTCTAAAGGGTCGAATATTAGCTAATTAGAGTTTAAATTGACTTATAACTAATCAGATTAGACCAGAATTATCCAAAAAAGCATAAAAAAATCTCTTCGCAATATTCTTTACCATGAAATTCTGGATTAGATCAAGTAGTAAACATTCAAATTTCCCATTTCAATAAAGATTGGGTACATTTGCCTTTAAAATTTTTCAGAATATTATTCTAGAATTTCTTATTGATACCAAAATTCAGCATCTCTTGGTCAGTTCGTGAATTGAGTTTCTTGCTTTTGGTTTAAACCAAAATCTTGCTTTTGTTGAGGTTCGATTATTCAAAAGATCTGCTTATAAATATCAAATAAGTTTTAATGAATATGATTACAGTATTACTCAAAGTGCGACGTCCGGGAAACGGCTATTCACATCGTTTTAAGTTTTAAGTTAAAAACAAACTTAGTTACTAATAAATTTATAAAATCGCGAAAAGTACATGTAAGCGTCTAAGACGAAATAAGAGTCTAAAGAATTCGCTTTGAAAATAACTAAAGCTTTAACTAAATAATCGCATTTTGAATGAGATCACTGTACATGGATGTGATTCAATGTTGCTTTCCTTTAGCATTAATTCTGATCATAATGCAGTGTTCAAATAGCCCTTTACATGACAGAAGCTACGTAATAACATTAACAACGGCACAATCATTCTCGCTATAACCAACTTTCATATAAAAAACAAGCATTCAAATGACCACAACTTACTTTCATGCGACAAAAAACTCTCGTGTTAAAAAGTTACTCGATTCAGAGTACGCAAAGAGGATTATCACTAGTTCTATTTTAAATTCAATGAATGCTGGTTTAGTTCATTTGAAAGTTGGTTCTATTCAAAGGAGAATGGTCGTATCAATAAATCCCTTTGAAGGTCAAAATAAAAACTTCTCGCTTTATCAATCGACTCCAATTGGCAAGAGAAATGATCAAGAACTTTTGCTACCCATGGTCTCTTTCAGACTAATTGAATGTTTTAAGATCACAGCAGTAAAGAGCGACAGAACTTATTGATACTCCTAATATCGAAATATTCATCAAATCAATAACTTATAAGCACCATCTTTCGATCATTGGAACTTATGAAAATCAATTTGCTGCAAGAATAAACTTGGAAAAGATGAAAGCGTTATTTAACTTTAAATAGATCTTTTAATAGATTTCGAGTTTACTTTGCTGGTTGCCAACTATTAGCACCACTTCTTGATTGTTAAGATAGATTGTTAGAATACTGTTTTCCAGAAGTTGAAAATCACCTGAAATATTGCTTGACTTGAATGAGACAATGAAGTGTTTAAATATCCTTTGCTTTTGCACGAATAACAAAGTTGAATCCTGTTTTGGATAATAAACTTAAAGAATCCAATTATCCAGTTTAATGGGTTTGATTTGGGATTTGATTGTTGCCTTATGAGATTGTTTCAAAGAGGAGCTCTTTGGATTGTTTAATAATTTCAACCTAAATCTGATCTTGTTACTTCATCTAGCATTTTGCTCAAGATTTAACCCAAGATAATTTGTGAGAATATTAATATTCTAGAAATATTTTTACTTTTGTTCGAATACCTTTCATATTTAATCTGCGAAATCATGTATTTTTCATAATTGTGTTGAGCCTTTCTAGTTTAGCGTCAAAAATCTTGTCCAGGCAAAAGTAAACAATTTGTATTTCAATAGAAGGACTGTAAAAGTTATTAAAATTGATTTGATTCAATAAAATTCTGTGCAATATCTAATAACTAACAGAAACAAAATCAACGTTCATACCCAAATTCAGAACTTTGAGCCTCGATATTTCGAGAATGGCATAACTTAAAGTCATTATTCTTTCACCAAATTAATTCCTTACTAATTAATATTTCAATGCAATATAATGACAATCAATTAGCGAATTTGTTTCATGATATTTGGACTGTGAATATGCGATTAGCAACTAACTAAACTCATATTAACACATATCTTGGTTAATAAAGCAACTTTCTGGTTAAACTTAAAAATGAAATGCAAAGAATGCTGCCAAAGGCTCGAACATTTGAGTACAGAGTTTAGACTTGGTGGATTTGTAGAGAAATAAAAACTGAGTCTATTGGTACTATTAAATATTGCATGTGATGGATAGTTTTCTAGAAAATTGAGGTCAAAGTTTAAACTTCGATCGCCTTTTGCACAATTATGTAAGCAGATATTTCCATAAAACTCATATTCCTGACTTGCATTTCAATGGCCAACCAGAAAATGGACTTATTTTGCGGAATAACATTTTATGTTTTTGTAAAACAGATCAAGTTCGATTTTGCGTTAAACTGATCTTTTTCTGCGAAAATGAAAGTTAGAGCGCTGAAACTCGCTATTCTTATATGAAAATTGTTTCTTCACAGCAACAAGCGAAGATATTTTCAAAACTATCGATAGTTCTCTTGATATCGGCCATTGGTCTTATAACTTTGAACATCGATAAGTCGGCAATGATAGGACTAAACATCGCCATTCTTAAACCAGTCAATAGACTTTATTATGAATTGTAAAATACTGAAATACAAGATGGTAGAAGATCTTACGAAAAAAGTTGTAGCTTTGTATTATTCATGTTGTCAGATTTATAAATGTAAATGTTAGCTTTTGGTGTGTTAGAATGATATTCATTATCTAATGAGTACC